TTATCCTAAATATTTTACGTCATTACTTGGCAGAGTAGGTTACTAATAGGTGCTTTTCAACTGAATTAAATTGCCAAGGCCGAGAAGTGTAAGAAAGCATTGCATATTAGCAGGAGCTGGAACGAGCTTGGAATGGCTAGAATCTGGGATATATGTGAGAAGTGGTGGAAAATGGGGCTGCAAAAGCAAGGATCAGATCATGAAAGGTCTAAGATGCCAAACCAAGGAGTTCAGAGTTTATCCTATGGCAGCAAACTGAAGGTATGACAACAAACTTGAAGGTTTCAAGGAAAGGAATGACCTACCAGATTTGTATCGTAGAAGCTCCGCTTGGCTGCAGTGGCCAGGCGGGGGCAGTAACACAGGAGGCCGGAGGCTGTCAGTTCAGGACCCGGGCTTGGAGTAACGGTGGGATAGCGCAACTGGACATGAGGGACACATTTCAGAGACAGGGAACTTGAGAGTGACGAGAAAGGGTCTTTCTCATATTTGAAAGAGAGAATAGGGAGGGTGAGGGGTGTGCGTAATACACCCGAAGTTACCCAACAACTCAGGAGGAGTCAGACCTGGAAATAAAGTCTTATTTTAATGAAGCAATAAACCCCATGTCAGAGCTGTTCTGAGGACTTTTGAAGGGAGAGTAACCACTGGTGGGTTGATAGTTTCTTGGTGGTTCTTTATCCGAGAGAGGTGGGCCTGCATTTTCAGGGAGATCCTTTTGCCCCCTTTCCCCCATACGGCCTACAGACCACCAGTTATCTTTCTGCATCAGCCCCTCGGCCCAGCCCTGGCCACTCCCTAGCCGCACACCACCCTGAGGACAGGGAGCAGGTCACGTTGCCTGGGGTCGCTCACCATTCATCCTGCCTGGGAGATGCTCTTTGGCCCCTCCTCAGTGAGAATAGCACAACTGCAGGCCCCTGATCTTCAAATCAGAGGCGCAGCGAAAGAAAAGTTAGCAGCCCCTCCCAACCGACAGCCTCTCTGCTTCTTTCCCATTTCTGCTGGCTTGTTGATGGAGATTCCTTTGAATCTATTGAGAGGGGATTTCGTCTGTTGTGAGCAGTTTTGACTATGCAGCCATATGAAAGGTCTTCTGCGCCAGGCAGGGTGCAGGGTCCATGCTAGCGCCCTCGCATCTCAGGGCAGGGGTGCAGAAAGAGGGGTGGCTCTGCATGTTTCTTCCTCCTTCCCGCCCAGCACTTCTTCGTGGTGCATGAGCACACGCAGAGTCACATTGACTCGGGGTGTCTCCATGGCCATACACATTCCAGACCCTCTATGTTTGCAACTAATTGTGCTAATCAGTTTTCTGGGATAAGACCAACTTCAAGATGGGGGCTGGTGTCATAGTCTTCCAGAAGCATATGCGGCGCCCATGAAAAGCCCTTTGATTTGTTCCTATCGTTCACCCCCTGACATCTGTCTCCCACCCATTAAGGAAAATGAACACAAGGCCAGAGTGCATTTTGAACAACTTTTATTATATGTTTAGTGTTCTCTATACAAAAGAAATCAGTTTTTTTACAGTGATTCAAAAAAAATTCTGAATAATTTGGCCTTTTCATTGCTCATGCAGTCAGTTTATAAGTCCATGTATTAGATGGTCCCCCACAGCCCAGACATCTTCCCTGCTGAAGGTCGCATGTGACACCCTCAGAGACGCATCTGTCGCTGACAACGTTGGTTAATGCAAAATAACTCGCAAAAAGGAAAGAACACGGTGTGAGAGGGGTTAAAACAAGGTCTGCCATGGCGAGTTAAATATTTAACCAATGGAAAAAAGATGAGACAATTTGTGGGTGTGTACATATGTGAGAAGGGATGGAGACACTGGGGAAACATTTTCCCACTGAAAGGAACAAGTTGGGATGGGCCAGCACGGGTCGGGGTGGGACCGGGACAGAAGGCGGCACGTCACAGGCGACTGACGCTCAGCTCAGAAAGGGTGCGCAGAAGTTGGCAAGGAGCTCAGAGGCGGCTGGTGGGGCAACACTGACTGAGGATGTTGTGTTTGGGGATCAGAAAAAAGAGCGGGGGGGGGTCATCTGATCTGCATCATTTTAGAAAAAGAAACAGAGCAGTGCACAAAATTCTGGATTGCTTATCCCAGACGTTTGTGTTTATTGCTTCGCTGAAGTCTTTACATGTGCTGGACTGCGGCCCGGCAACTCCCAGGGGGCAGGGCTTCCCCGGCCCTGCTGCCCGTCGGCACCTCGCGGCCAAGGGCAGAGTGGACAGAGAGCCCTTTACGCCCCCACTTCCGAGAGACGCAGCATGCTGGGGGCCCGATGTGTTACGAGGCTAGGCTTCACAGTGACAAACGCCAGTCACCTTGTCACGCTTCTCCTGGCCTGGGACTGCCCTTAAAGCCACAGGCTATCACACACTGACTGACCTTGGACTCAGAGAAATCCTGTGTGTCTTTCATTTTGGGAGGATATGGGGGAGGTGGGGAAAGCGGTAAAGGGATGCAGAGGGCGAACCAGCGGGACAGAGTTAAGTAACACCTCTGTTCCCAAGGAGGCAGCTGGAGTGAGACGCAAGAACACTGGAAAAGGTCACAGGCCCCGAGCTCAAGCCCTAATCTCCCCTTGATTTACTAGCTGTCGGATCTTAGGCAAGTCCCTTCACCTCCCCACGTTTTAGTGTCCTTGTTCGTTTGATGAGTCATTTCAATATCAGCTCTGTGATTTCTTCACATGCTGAAATCTGAACCCGATCCTACGCTAGACGCCTTTTCATCTATTTCCTTTTTGCCTTTATCATTATGGAACAGCCACTTAATACTAATACACTGATAGAGGAGCACTGGTTTTGGGTGTGGCTTGAGACACTGGTTGGTGGGGTCTTGTGGCTTCCTTGGATGGCTGTCCGCTTTTCCCTCGGATCCTTCTCTGACCCTGTCTCAGGAGGCATGTTCTTAGTAGGGGAGGGAAGGAGAGGGTGCCACTCTGGCTTGGGCTGGGCAGGCTGGGGGCTCCCCAGGAGCTGGGCTCTGCCCAGAACGCCGAATCTCCTGACATGTCAAGCTCTGTTTTATTTGTTTGACTCTGATTAAAAAAAAAAAAAGAAATCAGACACGCCCTGTGTGCTACTCCTAAGTCACCATGCGAAGCTCAACCAGGATCCATGGGATGATTTCTTTGTAGGGAACCTGTGGGCTTGGCAGACGCTCCTGGAGTAGCGATTAAGGTGTCGCGAGGGGGGAGTGTGCTCTGTGCCTGTATTGCAGGTACCGCCACCCTCCCACCGAGAAGTGGTTCCCTGGCACCAGCCCCTGGTGCCCGACAGCCTGAGGAGCCTCACCTCTTCGGTGTTAGGGAAGCAGCCTTGCAAAGACAAAGGCAAAAGTGGGTCGAACCCCTACTCCCTCAGTCACAGGGCTGTTCGTGCTGCTCTGTGGCTGGGCCCTGATTTTGCAAAGGGCTCCAGGAGCCTTAAAGGGCCACTGCTTGTGCTGTTCTGGGGCAGGTCACTCCCCCTTGCGTCGGACTGGTACTCTCTCGGGGCTGCCTCCGGGATCGCCTGAAGCGGGCCCAGCCCAGGCAGACTTTCTTCTGCCCAAATCGCACGCTGCACCCCACACTGCCCCTCACATCTCATCTCAAGCGGGGCTGGGTGTGGGCTCGGCCTCTCCAAGGCCATGTCACACTCCATACCGTTCTTTCTGGGAAGCTACCGGCAATGCCCCCTCGGTCTGCTGTGCATCTGCCCCTGTGAGGGTGCAGGGTGTGGGTGGGGAGAGGCGGCCTCTTAGCTGGGAAACCCACAGATATTCTTGGATCTGTTTCCGCCCCTTTGCTAAGGCCACACGTGTGCAAGAAAACTATAAAACTCTCCGGGCCCAGGCAGCAGACATCCTTGTAGGGTGAGCAATACTGGCACTGGCTGCCGCTCAGGCAGGTGGACACTTCTCCAGACCTAACGGTTTGCCAGGGAACAGGTGGACCAGATGCTTCCAACGTCTCAGGGCAAAGGCAATGGGCAAGGGAAGGAGCCCGTCTGTTTTACCCTTTCGCTTCAACTCAATCCTCTCCTCAAAAGCAAGGTAAGAAAGAAGAGGTCCCATTCTCCAAAAGCCAAGCAAGGTGGGAGGCAGCTGTCCCCTGGCCCTGCAGTGGTATGCTCCCCGGAAATGAGCCGCCTTGCTCCTCAGGTGGGGCCATGCCCCTCTGTGGGGAGAGGTATCAAAGGAAGGACTGAATGGGGGAGATGGAGGCACCAAAGTACAGACGGGGAAAGCCACTTGCCCTGAGGGGCAGCACAGAGGCTGGGGAGGCAGGGCTGGCCCTCCCCGCCCACCCCTTCACTCTGCCCCGGGGGAGTTTGGATGCCTTGTCTTGCCCAGCCTTGCAGACCAAGTCCTCCCTCTGAAGCGTCTCCCTCCGAGCCTGGAGCCATTGGCAGTTTACACAGAGTGCTCCTAATCAGTGTCACTGTGTCCCAACACTCAGGTCCAGGACTGGCAGCCCCAAGAGGGCAGGGACCACGCCTGACTCTTCACCATGGTATCTGTGGCTCGGAGCCTGGCTCACACCTGCTGTTCAAGGGTAGATGCTGAGTGATCCCTGGATCAATAAGGGTACCAGAAGCCACAGCTCTTGTCCCCGAGCATGTAGGTGGGATCACAGCACAGCAATGGAACTTCGAGTCACTGTGAGAAGACCTGTACTGCTCCCCCTGTCAGGCTGAAGCGCCAATGGTACCACCCTTCCCAGCATTGTTGGGTGTTTTGGGGTGGCTGCTTGAGAGTCCAGCTGTCAGGGAGTGCGGGACAGCACTGCTCTCCGGCTGAGCTGGGCCCTGGCACAGTGCCATGAAGAATGGACTTCCTTCCGCTGCAAGGGCTGCCTCCCTATCCCTGACCCTGACCCTGCAACCCACACACCTCTCGCAGCACCTGCCGCCTTTGCTTGGGAACAGCTTGGTTCTTCAGGCCCAGGTTTGCTGTGGCCTGACGGTGTGGGCAGCCTCCTGGGGGGCCCACCGGTGCTACCTCCACAAGCCACGAGGGATGGTATGGAGCGAGGAGCAAAGACAGGCTGAAGGATCCCCTCTCCCCCAGGCCCAGGGCGGCAGAGGCCCTTCCCTGGCCATCAGCGTGCAGGCTTTCCAGAGGCAGGGGGAGGAGTACAACGACAGCTCACAGTCCTTGCCCTAAGAGACTGTCTCCGGTGCAGTAAGCTCACTAGTGCGTTTGGTACGGTATGGACTCAGGGCCTGAGAAACTGACTACCTTGTTCAAATCCACAGCGTTTTCTGAAAAGGCCGGTCCTTTCATTCAGCTCACAGGCACACTTCCCTGACGTTCCCTTCAGGGACCCTGGGCCTAGGCTGCAGGAATATCCAGCTGCGTCCAGGCAGAGGTCAGAGGAAAGCCAGGGGAGGGGACCCCTGAGCCCACTCCCCAGCCCCCTGCTATTCACCCTGTCTCTGTCACCATGAGAGAGCTGCCCCTTGGGCTTCTAGGTAGCTTCTAAACCTGGCCATGGCTAAGGCCAAAGGGCAGTTACGTGCTCTCAGGTTCAAACGACAACATAATTGGCTTAGCTCTGGGCTATGGTTTCTTACCCCGCGTACAGAATATGTATATCTATGGGCTTGACCTTCACTGACTGGTTACTAAGTGATGCAAGCATTGCTAATACCTTTGTGGCTTAAACATGTGGCAACTGATGCTTTAATAAAGTCTCTGAAGGACAAAGCCCTGCTCCTGCCCAGGTCCCCTGGCAAGCAGCTGGAGGCCCAACTCAGAGGCCGTGCCTGTGGCAGGTGGCCCATTACGAGGGTCAGCTTCCCCCTCCTGAAACCGACGCTAGCTGCAGCTACAGGATTACTCTTAGGCTCAAGATCCCTCTCCTCTGAGGCCAGGTACCTTTGGTTTCAAAGTGGATTAGGTGGGGCGGAGGAAGGCAGTGCCTTCGGTCTCTGAGAACTGCAGGTCTGCGAGTGTCTCCACCTGGGGCAATGGGTTGCAGGGCATGTGTCAAGTGGTTGCTTCTGGTTCTGCTGTGACGCTTGCATAGGCTGCCCTGTTTTCCTTGAGACAGACGTTGCTGGAGGCTTCAAGGCCTGCAGGGAGGGGCTGGGAACCTGGGAACTGCAGGGACAGAGCAGAGTTGCATAAGGCATACGAAGAGCGCTGAGTCCTCCAGACCAGGCTTCACAGCACTGTTAGGGTGGTGTCCCCACCGGGTCCCCTGGTAGGAAAGGACACCAACTCAGTCTCAGTCTCAGGGCAGCAGGGCCCCATCTGCACAGGTCCAACATCATAGGGAACTGACCGAAGAGACGGTCCCCGCTGGAGGTGAACGGGGCGCAGCGCTTTACATTCCCAAACACACCAGCAAAGCTTCTGCGCCGCAAGGCTCCATCTCCTCGAGGGCAGCGGCGCAGACCCCTGGCCAGGCAGGGGGCACCTCTACTCTGGGTGCAGCGGGTGTGGCCCTCACTCCTACACCCTGAGTTTTACTGCTGGGGAGGAAGGAGTCCAGACCCAGTCTTTTTCTCCTCTCTTGAGGTGAGGATAGCTCCCCAGGAACCAGGCGCCCGATTTTCTGCTGCTTGAGGTACCGGTTACTGGAGTTGAAGTCCCTTCTACCAGTGCCCACTCTTGTTCCTCTCACTCCTTCGTCAGAGTCGGTGCAGCTCTCGTCTTGGACACTCTGGAGGGTGGGGCAGGGTAAGAACGAGGAGCAAGAGGTAAGCCCACCTCCCAACTGAGCCAGGGCAAGGTGAGGAGCCCTGTCCACCCTCTCCCTGCCAAAAATACTGTCATTTTTCCAGAAAGGAGCCAAGCCCAGCTCAGCAGCTGACAAGGCCGAGGTGGATGGGTTGTGGGCACAGGGAGGCATATGGCGAGAAAGGCATCCTTCGGAAATACATTGGCCCGGCGTGGTTGGAATACTGCAGCTTTTCTCTTTGCCCGTTTACGGACCAAACTTTTTTGCCTATCTTTGCAGTTTCTGGGGGGTGGGGGACATAATCCACCTATTTCTTTCTCCAGGGATTCTTCAAAAGGAAAATAAAATGGAGACACTGGGTCTGGAGGGGAAGATGCATAAAGCAAAAATGAAGACACTGAAAAGTACCAGGATCAGTAGGAATTGATGTGTGCCAAGGTCAAGGGCAGGCCGTGTGGGGGGAAGGCTCAGGGTGGCTGTGAGGCTGAGCAAGGGGCTCGGGCTCCCTCCAGCTGAGCTTGGCCATGGGTCTAGCTCCCCCACACAGATGGCACCCGGGTGTGTGGGGTCATTGGGAGGGGGCTTGTGGTTGGCTGGGTGGTCAGTGGTCCTCACAGCTTGGCAGACCCCCACGTTATACCCTTGTCCCTGAAGGTGGTGGCGGCTCTGTCCCCCCATCTCTTCTCTTCCCACTTGCAAAGTAGTGGCTGTGCCTGGGGGGCTCCATTAGGCCAGGGAATAGATGGCATTGACGGGCGACGTGGCCTCGGAGCTTTCGTTGCCTTCCGTCTCCTCCTTGTCCTTTTTGACAGTGTACTGGCCGATGAAGGAGCCGTCCTCATTGAACTGGCCCTCGCCGCCCTCACCGTAGTCCACCAGGCTGTCGTCACTCTCCTGCTGCTTGATGGTGCCGTCCAGGGATGTCTGGCTCCCCTGCAGGGGCTTGTTGTCCTCATCACTGGCCAGAGGGAGACAGAGAGTCAGGGTCCCACCCAGTGCTGCCCAAACCCAGGCGGGGGGGCGGGGGCAGGGCGCTGGCCTCCTGCCAGGCGCACACACCACGTGCGCCACATACCTCAGGGAGGACAGGACCTCAGGGGCCTCCTAGTCTAGCCCTCCCCTGTCCAGCCGGTCCTACAGAAGGGAAGCTACGGCCCAGAGGACAAGCGGCACCTCCACGGGAGGTGGCAAGTCGGTGCAGAGCCGGGACAGGAGCCCACACTGCGGATTCCCGGTCTGGGGTCCTCTTCCTGCGCCGGCCGCTCTCTGGAGTGGGGCACACAGAGGACGGCCTCCCTGGCTCAGGGAGAGCCAGCTACGGTGGGACCAGGCAGGACGGGGAGTCAGACAGGGGGCCTAGCCACCAGGGTGTCACTGTGTGGTTCTGTGGCCTGGGGAAAGCCCTCTCACTGGGTCTCAGTCTCTCCATCAAGAATGGTTGGGCCACTGATCTGTGACTTTGTCTGGAAAGGCTCTGCCATGACAAAAAGCCAGGGTCTAGGCCTTAGAGAAACCAGCCTCTGCCCCGCCCCTCCCCTTCTCTGCCGAGACGCCATTTCTCTCAGCTCTCTCCCCGGTTCCTGTACAGAGGCTCTGCCCAGCAAGTGGAAGAGGGTATGACATGTAGCTAATAGGTGAGACGAGAGACTCCTGCCAGCTCCCTCCGAGGCCCCCAGGTCCTGTCCTTTACCTGCTCCTGTGCAAGGGAGGCTGGGAGGCTGGTGGTTAGAGTGGCCGCTACCCATGTGCCTGCTGTACCCCCAGCAAATGAGATGCCCGAGTGGGCCGGGTGTCTGCTCAGGCACCGCATCCCGTGTCCTGGCTGGAAGACGCTCTGCCCTTTAGACTCAGAGGGTGGCCTGGGTGCTGCTGGCTGTACTTCAGAGGGGAATGGAGCTCCCTGGCAGAAGGCGGGAGGACCAGCAGTGAGAATCTGGGTCCTGGTCGGCAGGACACAGCGGTGCCAGGTGGTCTGAGCAGACAATCTCTGCCCCCACTGCTGTCCCCAGGCTACCCTCAATATTCCTTCTGGGTGTGTGGAAAACGACAGGCTGAGTTGCCGTTATACTGGGCAGAGCGGCTCTGGCTTCTAACAGCAGTGCTGGGTGGACAGGAGAGGGCTGAGGGAAAGGGCCGGAGGGGCTGGGCATTAGTAGCTGGAAAGCTGTTAGCCCGCTCCCCCGACGCCATGAGTGAACGCAGCCCTGTTAATGCAGCCTAACTGCGTTCTCCGACGGCCGAGCCGCGGGCGAGGTGCCCTGAGTGAGGGGAGTGGGTCCCTGGGGTTTGTGCAGGAAGTGAAACTCACCTTTTGAGAACTAGCAGATTTTTTTTTAATGTAAAGATCTAATTGGCTTTATTAAGTGATTCATGAATGGAGCTGCTTCCCATCTAGCAACGAGAAGGGTGCCCCCAAGAACTGGGAGATTCTAATTACAGGCGCCTTACCCCACCTGCCAGGTTCTCTCACTGCAGCCCCTTCCCCGGGCCTTCCAGCCCGCCTGAGGAAACGAGGACTGTGTCGTCGTGTTCTGACGGGATTCCAGGAACCTGAGCTAAAGGCAACCGCTCGGCAGGAAGCGGGTGGCCCTGAGGGGGAACCCCGGTCTAGCCTCCCGTCAGCCTACCTTCCAAGAGACCTTCAAGGACCAGGTGGCCAGACAACAGAGAGGAAAGCGGAGGGAGCCCCACCAGGGAGGTGCTTCGGGAGCTAGGCCACAGCATGGAGCCGGGTACTCCTCCTTGTCCCCAGGCCTGTCTGTCTAGAAACCTGTTGTTTCCTCTGATGTATTAATTTCAGCCCTTTCCCAGTTTAGGACTCTCGGGCTCATCCCAGTAGGGGCTCTAGGATGAATGCTGCAAACCCCACCCCAGACTCCCCCCGCCCCTCGCCCCCAGAGCAAAAGCTGAGTTGGGGTGTGTGCGCCCACGCGTGTGCAGGTGCCTGTGTGGTGTGTGGCCCATGCGTGCCTGTCCGACCTCAGTGTTGGTGGGGCAGGGGTGGGCTGGGAGGAGGCAGGGGTTTCGCCCATCAGCTTTGGTGTCTAGGGGAGGAGAGGTGCCTGTGGAAGCAGCCTCTTACAGCCCAGGCTCTCGGGTCCTGCATTTGAATAGGTCCTTGCTCCACCTCTGTGGCTACGCTGAGTGTCTGGGGGAGAAAAAGCCCACAGCCTTTGGAACTGATGACCAGGGCACAGCTCTCAGCATATGAAGGGGCTGGACGCCACCAGGGGTCCTGAGGACAGGCGGGGGAGGGGCCTCTCGTGCTTGCCTTTGGGAGGCTTACTGGGATGTTGGGACTTGATGGATGGATGTGGTCCTGAAGTCGCCAGACAGGCTCCAGTGTGGGCAGCGACTGCGCTGCCCATTGATCCAATCCTGCTTGCCAGACTGCTGATGGGCAGAGTGGCAGAGGCCCAGGATGGAACCCACAGGTCAGAGGAGGACAGGGGTGTCCTGGTCCCAGAGAGTGACTGGGTGGAGCGGGCCTATTTTAGGCTAAAGCCCAGAGATATTGTCCAAGTTCATGTGGAAAAGGCCTGGAACAACCGCCCCCCCCCCCCCCCCCCGCAGTGCCCTTCATCCCTCACCTAGTTCATGCTTTCTTTAGGACAACAGCTTCCCCGGGTCATTATCTTCGGGGTTGGGGTGGGGTGTTGGCAGAGGGGAAGCTGAGAGCTGAGCTCACTTAACAGCAAAGAGGACCCAGAGCTTGTTTTCAGAGTAAAAAGGTGGGAACACATATCAGGAGCTCAATAAATCTGAGTTGTGCAGCCGAATGATAAAATGCCGTTCAAGGACTGTGTGTGTTAGGCCGTGTGGGGGCTGCCTTGTTTGGTACGACCAGGATGAGCAGGTGCTGTCAAGAGCGGCAGAGGTGAAAGCCCATGCGTAATGGGCAGTGACATCAAAGCAACGGCCTGTGGGCCAAGACCAGTGCTGAGGGGAGGGCACGGCTCGGGGCACCGAGGAGAGTCCGCTGGCAGGGGACACTGTGTGTGAGCAGGAGACAAGAAGATTACGCACCTGTAGTCAAATGAGCCATCCTCTTCTTTGGGGTCTTCAGGGCCAAGGGGAACATCCTTCTTTTCTCGCACTTGGTCAATAAGAAAAGCAAAGACACAGATAGCATGACTGAGTACGTCCCTGCTCTCCAGGGCCCTGACCATAGACCAGAAGACACCACCTTTGGGTTGAGGGACACTCTCCCTTCCAGTAAGGACCATCGATGCTTCCCTTGTTCTTGCTCCCCGTGTCAATCAGCTGCCGAGCTGATTCTGTCTCCTCCTCCTCCGGCCAGGGGTTTCCTCCCATCTCCACTGACAATGAAATTCTCCTCCCACCTGGCTCCCCACACCTCTCCCTGAGGTCTTCCCCAAACACCAAATGGATGTGAATCTTTCCTTGGCACCTTTCCTGCTCTGCCCTGTATTATAATTACTTGCGTGCGTTTCTCCTGCCTGTGATGGAATGCCAGTTCTCTCCTTGAGGATGGGGAACTATGTGTTTCCTGAAAGCTCCGAGCCGAGTGCCGCGACCTCGCCTGTTTGCACGGCTTGCTCTCCCCCTCCCTCCTCTGGGACTTGGAAGCGTCCGTCAGGGCCCTGTCTTGTGCTGTGATCTTCCTTCTGTGCCAGCTGAGATGTCCTTGAGGGAGAGATCAGCTTTCCTTCTAGAAGCCTTACTACCCAGTACAGAGCCTGGCAGCCAGCAGACAGTTACATGAATGACTCTGTCTGTCTCCTCTTTGGGGTGTAGGAAAGAATAATCACCCCCACTTTAGGGGGGAAAAACAGGCCTCGAGAGGTGAAGACCACCTTACATAACAAGTTGGCAACTAAGTCTTGAGTGAGGATGAGGGCCCCAGCTTCCTGCCTCCTGGTCCCCTTATCTTTCTCATGGGCTAGCGGTAGGGGGTGGCCTGCAGCTGGAGGGAAGGGGGTGGTTGTAAGAAGGACTGGAGTGGGGCACTTTCTGATGGGCAAAGGAAGGCTCGGAGCTTGCCTGATGAGCTCTTCAGGCATCCCAGTTCCATTTGGAACAGGGAGGGGACCTCAGGAAGGCCACCCATCTCCCTAGCTCCAGCTTTCTCCCTTACAGAAGAAAAACAGCCCCAGCCCAGTACAGCAGCGTGAAAGGAAACATCATTTACCAAAATGAGAATGGTAATTCCCTGCCCTCCCTCCCAGGGGCCTCCCTTACTTCAAGGAGAGGCCTAATTCTTTAGATGCCTACGGTCTGAGGGTGTGTGGGCAGGGGAAGGAAGTAAATTGCACCTCCTCTCTCTGAGTCTGAGGTGGGTCCTGGAGGTGGATTTGTTCAGAGATGGGGGAAGCGGGCCTTCGGAGAGCAGGGGGCGTGTCTGGCCACCGGGGCTCTGAGGGGCAAGGAGCAGCCTCACTCTGCAGCCCGCCACGCCTTTCACTCGAGCGTCATCCATTATCCTGCCTCCCCCGTCACCCTGGCCAACCCACCGCAGACAGATGGCTTTCCGGCCCATTTGAAAAACAATCAATATTTCCAGGAACAAGAATGTCAGAGGTCCTTGTCCTTGACCTTGGTCTATCTGGGCTGGCGGATCCTGAGGCCTACAGAAGAGAAATGCCCCTTTGGGACCCTAGGGAAGCCCATAGCCCGTGAATGGCCAGGAGGGTCCCTGTCAGTGCAACCTGCCCCTCAGCTTCTGCTTGCTCCTCATATGGGAGCTTCTGCCCTTTGTTAGGGTGTTTGTAATGACACCCTAGTCACGCTGAGAGCCCAACTCTACAGCCTCTCTCACGGGTGTGCCGCTTCCGTCCAGACCCCTCCTCACTACATTCTTTCTCTTTCATGATTAGAGAAAATGCTTCTTCCATCCTCCTTCCCTGAGACACAGGATTCTAATGAGATTCAGTCTGAAAAAAAGTCAATTTACTGAGCAGATGGATGGTAGGTCAAGGGAAGGGAAGGTCATTCTTAATAGGGACCAGGGTTCCTTCCATCCCCTCTCTGGAGCTGCCTGGACCGCTCCTTCCGCCCACCTCAAGCAAACTTAATTAACTCAAGTGCTTTCTGGCAGCTCTAAGATGCACAGAACAGGCAAGAGGACTGTTTGCAAGCTTGGCTAGGGTTATGCTAACTGAGGGAACGGAGCCCCCTGCCCCGGATCTGGCAGGGGACAGCCCCCCACCCCGCTCCCCTGACACATCTTACCTGGGTACTTGCCACCACGACTCCTCTTGATGAAACAGACGATGAGCAGAATCAGCACCAGGAGGGCGATGGCGCACATGAGCCCAATGAACCAGCCCTGGGTGGCGATGTCAGTCTGGTTGTTGGTGTAAGCTGCGGGGGGAGGGCCAGGCGCGAACACGTGAAGAAGGGTTTTGCATGGGGGGAGGTGAGGAGGCAGAGGTGAGGGAAGAACTTTAGTTACTTCATGTTAATGTTCCTTCTGGAGCCTAATGCTACCACCTAGCAGCCCTCTGGCCCAAACTGCTCAATACAGGGACAAAGAGAAAATAATTAAGGAGCCAAGGTCAAAGGTCAGAAAAGAGGCAGAGGAAGGGGGAACAGGGAGCAGAATAAGCAGCAGACGGCGGACAGGCCCGTTAGGAAGGGGAAGTTTCCTAAGAACGAGGCATGGAGTTTTTGCAAACCACCTCCTGGTCACAGCCTGGTGGGGACTGAGGGAAAGCCGGGGACTGGCCGCAGAGTCCGATTCCCTGTGAACGAGCCAGGGGCGAAGAAATGGAGCCCGTGTGCCATCCATGGTCACAATGCAAACTGCCTTGAAAGAATGCCCTCGGGGACCAACACCGGCCCGGAGCAGTAGCCTGGTCCTGGAGCCGCCCAGGCTTCCTGGCACTGGGTCTGGGCAGGGTACAGTTCCAGGATACCCTTGCTCTCTCATGTCTCCCCAACGAGATCGCGCACTCCATGAAGCAGAGGCAGTCTCTGCGTGGGTACCCCAGACGGCTGGTGGCGAGGCTGGGGTCATGCCTTCAGTGCATCCTGTGCCACTTCAGAGCACGCCCATAGGGAAGGCCCCCCCGCCGCCACCGCCGCAGCTGTGACAAGCTGACTTGCCCCCACCCCGTGACAGTGAGTCTCTCCAAGTGGGCAGATCCCTGTGGACTGGAGGGGCATCTGGGTGAGTCTGGAACACAGGCGTTCAGGCATCATCTGATGGGGTCCTGGGTGATCCAACAGCCGGGGTCAGGGCTCAGGAGGCAGTGTGGGTTGGGCAGGACCCACTCACCCTTCTCCTTTCTATCAACTGGAGAATGACAGCGACCCCTGCTGAGATGCAGCCGGCCATGGAAACCATGGAAACCAAGATGCAAGGAGAGGAAGGATCAGAAGACCAGAACAGACAGGAAGTAAGGGTGAAGCCAGCCGAGTGGGCGGAGCCACCTTTGGGGGACTGGACTACAGCAGGGGCTCTGGGAGCCGGCAGCCAGAGCCCAGGCACCGGCCTCCTCCAGGGGAGCAGCACCGGGAGCAGAAAGAGTGCTCCGGGGCCTTCATTAAGTGCCCTCTCGTGCGGCAGGTATCTGGGTGCACTCCCACCCTTTGCTCCCCTTGGCCTGAGAAACTGTCTTCTCAGCATCTAGCCAAGGGTGTTGTTCCAAGAGGGCCCCAGTCAGCGGTGAAGGCTGATGATCAAGGGCGGCCAAGCTCTCCAAGCCCTGGCTGGAGAAGCAGGTGAGTTCCGAGGGCGTGGCCGGCTGCCCTGAGCTCTGCAGGCTGTGGGGGACTCGCTCCTCCCTGCCTCTGCTCCTGTTCCCTCAGACCATCCCCCACAGCGTCAGAGAGCTTTCCCCGGCCCCTGTAAGACCAAATCACCTCCTGCTTTAACCTCCAACGACGCATCTCATCACTATCGGAGAAAAAACCTCCATTCCCCATCCTGACCGGTCAGGCCCCATCTGCGCTTGCCCCGGCCCCCGCCCAGGCCCCATTTCCGGCCGCTCTCTATTCGCCAGCCACAAAGGCCACTCTCGTTCCTGCCTCAGGGCCTTTGCTCTCTCTTCAGATCCATCTCAGCGAATGTCACCTTCTCAGGCCTTCCTGGATCTTCCTGCCGAAGCAGAGTCCCTCTTCCTAACCAGTCCCTCTGAGAACTCTATCATTTTCATAGCATTTGTAACCATTTGATAGTCACACGGTATCCCCTTTATCTGCAGGGAATACATTCCAAGACCCCGAGTGGATGGCTGAAAGTGTGAATAGTACCAAACCCTATGCTTTTTCCTATATATACATGACCTATGGTAAAGAGTAATTTATAAGTTATGTATAAGAGATTAACAACTAATAATAAAGTAGAACAAGTATAATAATATACTGTAATAAAAGTCATGTGAGACCATACAATGCCTTCTGGGGATGAAGCGCGGTGAATGGCATAGGCATTTGACTTAACGTTAGGCTCTACTGACGTTCTGACAAAATGTCAAAAGGAGGACCATCTGCTCCGGGTGATCCTGGATCGTCGAGCCAGGACACGTCGACGGCTGGGGAAAGTTAGTATTTTCGGATTGCAGTTGTCCGTAGACAAGGTGGGGGCACTGTATTACTGCTACTAAGTTTGCTCTTATAAGCGCCTCCTATGGGCTATGCTCTAAGCACTTTCCCACATATTCTCTAATATAATCCTTACAACCCCCATGAAGTAGGTTTGTATTTTTGTCCCTATGTTATAGGTGAGGAAACTGAGCACTGAGGTCAAGTGACTTACTCAAGGTCACAAAGCTAGTAAGCGGTAGAGCTGAGATGTGACCCCTGTCTGTGCTCTTTCCCACCCAGTCCCTCCACCCAGAAGGGGAGCCCTTTGAAGGGGGGACTGTCAGGTTTATTGTTGCCCCCCTGCCCGCGGCAGAACAGAGCCTTACGCACGGAAGGCACGGGATTCACATCTGCTTGCGGATGCACCCTCCACTTCCTCCCCTTCGTTCGGCCCTCTCACCCTCTCTGGGCCTCAGGAGGCCTCTGCTAACCTTACACTCCTTCCTGTCCTTCCTCTGCCACCCATTCCAGCACCAGCTCAAGTCCTGTGGGTCTCCTGGGCCACTGCTGTGTTCTCCTGCTCCTGCCACGCACCCGCTGGAGGAAGGCCTGACGCAGGCCCCTCAGAGCCGCTCTTCGCCTGGGCCTGCACGGCCGCCTGGCCATCCTTTCACTCGCCTCCCACCGTTCCTCCCACACTGCTCATCCCACACGGTCCCCAGCCCCAGTCAGCGCTGACCCCGCCTACTCGGCTCTGGAGGCCGGTGACACCTCAGCCTCCACAACTGGCCCTTCTCCAGGTTCAGGTAGGGCTCCTCTCTTCCTCCGAGGCTACACCCTGCTCAGCCGTGGAGCCCACACCTTGCCTCCCCGGCAGCTCAGTCCTGAAAGGATCTCTGAAAATCCTACATTTTCAATTTCTTATTTGCTGTCTCCTCCCTTCTGTTGTTACATACATTGAAGCTTCCTGTATCTTAAAATAAAAATCCTTGAGGAACCTGCAAAGCTTTTCAGCTCTGTCCTGTCCTTTTTTAGGTAAACTCAATCTTCCCTTGTTCCCAGTTCCTGCCAACTCCCTTCTCCACCCCCAACAAGCCAACTCAAAGCCCCTCTGTGCTCAGTGGTGCTTCATCTACCACCAGGGGGTGGCTCTTTCCCAAACCTGCCTCTGCATTCTTGACTCTTACCTTCATGGTCCTCCTCTCCCAGCTTTCAAAAGGGTGATCCTTCTATTCATCTCTCATTGTCCCTACAACCAGTCCTACCCTGTAAGCCCAGTGCTTCCTCCTAACAGCTCCTGGAATGACCCATCTGCTTGAAATTCATCGTGGGTCTTCCTGCTCCCTCCCTGTTTCTGCCAGTGACTCCACCATTCTCCCTATCTCTAAATTTATCATTTCTCCTTCCAAAGTATCTCTCATATTCACCTCACTGCTCCATTCCATACGGGTCCCCTCACCCTCTGCCTATCAGATCCTGAGGACACCATGACAGCTAGGACACTTGCACCAGCCCTGGCCTTCCAAGCGTTCCGGTCCTCCCCTCCCTGCCCAACGGCACCTGTGCTGCCACCCCTCTTGCTCTCCCCCATCCCCCCTCTGGCCCGAATCTGCCATTGCTCCAGCTCACACTGGTCTCTGAACTCCATTGACTCCAGGCCACGTGACATTTGATTGCTCTGTTTCCAGTGATCCTTTAATTAAAGGCTTGAGGACACGGGATTCTTTGAGCTCCCTAGTACTTAGCATGATGCTGGTTACATAACAAGCAGTCAGTGACTACTTATTGATTAATGATCAATTTAATCTTAATATGATCTGGTTAAACTGCTTTAGTTTCTTCCCTGATACTGGCTCGGGGTCACAGGGATATTGGCTTGCCCGTGAGCCACACCTGGGAACTGGGATGAGGAATCACTTTAACTTGTGTTTGGATGGTGGTTCCCTGCTTTGGCAGAGAGGCTGCTGAGCATGTCTGCGCGACCTGTTTGCCCCACCCCTCCCTGATGACCGCTCTGATACCTGCTGACGGCTGTCTCCACGAGACTGCCTTTCCCTTGGGAGAAAAAGTCACAATTCCAGGGAAAGTGCCCACACGGGCAATCTAAAAAGCAATTGTAGCTTCCCATTCTTGACTTTGCCATGCAAAGCTCAAATGCTATCTTTAGTCCTTACCAAAATGGTGAGAGAGTTTTCTATTAAGTTTGCACACAGAAGGCTATTCAAACTTCACTGAATGTTGTAACTATGTTAGGTGACAGATGTTAATTAAACCTAATGTGGTAATCATTTTGCAATATATACATATAGCAAATCAGTATGTTGTACACCTAGAACTAAGTAATAAATGCTATATGCCAATAATGTCTCCATTAAAGCAAACAAAGCGGGATCTGGGGTGAGGTGGGCTTAGCCTGGCAAACACCGGTGCCAATGCCTCTTACTCTGGACCAGAGGCCACCTTCTGTGTGTCTTCCATACCACAGCCTACAGCCCTGCTCAGAACCCAGTAAGTCATCCCCAAGGAAGACCACCCATGACTCCTAACTAATGAGGAGGAATTTGTTTGGCCATGGAAGAGAGGCCAGTCGTTCAAGGTCAGCAGAGCTATATTTCAGAAATAAGGATAGATGAACAAATGCAGTAGGCACGCACTTTCTTCAAATGCAATTTGTCTTGGCTGCTCTCACGTAAGCATCAATTTATACCTCTCCATTCCCATCTCGTCCGTCCTGGGCCTCTCCCACACACAGCAGAACGAGGCTGACTACAATCAGCACCCTCGGGGCCCCTGCCTCCCGCTTTCTTGAGATCTGAGGTGGGCTGTTGCCTCGCCCCATGCCACCCACCCATGATGGAAGGGCTGACCGGCCCCTCGGAGTCCAGGGCTCTGTGTCTGTAGCCTCTTGGGCTCCTTTGGCTTCAAGAGCTTCAAGCAGGTCGTTAACTCCCCAGGCGGGATCTTTCTGGAGAGGAGCAGGGAGCCTGTCAGCACCCGTAGTGCTTTCCTGCCTTTCTTCTCCGAACTCTCTAGCATGTTTGAGTCTGTAGACTAAAGCGATGGCCTGTGGTTGCCTAAGCAACCATGGTCAGGTCCAGAGATGCTCACACACACTTTGATGAGACACGGGGACCTGAGGGAATGTCTGAGCTTGGCTCTGGAGTCCACCCACAAGAAACACTGTGTTTTTGAGGGATCTGGACACACACAGGCAAACACAAACTTCAGAGAGTAACAATATTTTCTTCCTCTATGTAATTTCCAGCCCTCCAGGGGGTAAGTGAGCGCTTTGTGCTCAGTTAGGGTCCTACACCTGCTTGCAGCAGAAGGAACCAGGAAAACTTGTAAGTGCTAAGTGCCTCACTTACTATAAAAACAAGCTATCAGGATCAGCCTCTTCAAGCCATCCATCAGGAAAGAGGAATGAATGTTTGACTCACCGCTCAGAAGTATATCATCAAACGTCATTGGTTTTTTTTTTTGACTTGTAAGTTTAATACCCTGAAGCAGATTGGGACATCCCTTTTCTCTCTGGTTCTTTGTCACCATCCTCACCTACAGCACTGGGAGAAGTCTCATTCTGAAGCAGGCTGTGCAGGCGTCTGCAGCTTCCCTAGGATGGGACTCAATCCTCGAATCTCATCTTTGCTTCCTGCCTTTGTGCTGGACTGGATTTTGTAACAAAGCAACATCAAATGCATGCCCTGGTGAGCAACAGCTTGGGACCCCGGCTGGGTTAGATGGCGTCCAGCCACCTGCTCCACTCGGTCAACTGTCCAGTTCCCTTGCCTGGCTCCAGGACAGCCTGGCCACTCAGACATCCTGCCTGAGTTGGCCTGGCTAGCCTCAAGCAGCCTCTGCGTATTGATGGCACAGACATACGCAGGACAGGCAGAGACACAGGGAGGAGGGCAGGACATCCAGGCTAAGAGAGAGCGGGCTAGAAAGGGTGGAGAAAGACATTTATACAGATGGGCAGCGACTCACAAGATGTGAGCACCAGGATCAGCCTCCCCAGGCCAGGCACAGGAAGAGTAATGCATGCTGAAGTCAACGTTCAGAAGTTCATACAAGTCACTGTGGCATTTCCCCCCTCTATCCTCGTCTCTTAACCTGCCTCTGATTTAGGACATCCCTGGGGGCAGAGGCTGGTCCTTTCCTCTCCGCCTCCACCACCCTTTAGCCCCAGGGCTGAGCATACCACCTGCCTGTCTGGTTTTAAAGATACACACAGACAGACAAGCAAGGGCCCTCCCAACTCCAGACTGCCAGCTACCTGCCTAGCAGGGAAATATCTGAGCCTTGTACCCTTTACTGAGCCCCAGCCGGCCTGTTTATGTGGCACAAGGAAGATGCTTGTCTATTCACAGCTGAAGCCCCTGTAGAGCCAGGATGATTCCAATACAGGAAAGCTTCTTCCCCTCCCCCAGCAAGACAAAAGGTCAACTACTTTTAAGCCATAACAAACTTAGGCCAATAATTAAATCAAAACAAATCCCAAGCAACTTGTGTAATACACTTTGGAATTTTTTAACAACAGATGACGATGGCAAGGCAGGGAGATACATGCTGACCTTTGCTTTGGTTCCTGGGGAGACGCCTGGGTCAGGGTGATCCTACCCCTCATCCCATGGGCAGGAAGCCAGCGCGTACCCACGGGACAGGCTGCAGGGCACTCCTGCAGCCCCATACCCACCCGCAGAGACCACGTGTGCACGTACACCAAGCCCCTTTGTTTCGAGCACAGTGGGGAAGGCAGGTGGCCTCCTCGTCCTCACCCTACGGTTTTCCTTGATGCCCCACTTGTCCCCATAGGGTGAGAAGCGTGGTGGCCTCTCCACTGTGCTGCATGCATTTTTGACTCCTCTTGTCGGGAGCTGCAAAGTGTGAGAGCTGAGATACGCCATGCAAGGTGTGGAATGGGTGGGGAGGGTCTTCTTTCCGAGGAGCAGATTCAAGCAGGAAGCTGAGAATGAGGATGAAATGCCCATGCTTGCAGGGGACGGCCAGGCCGGATCCCCTCTCACCTGTACTGGTCATAAAGGTGATGATGGTACTGCTGATGCCCTCGTTGTCCCGGGAATAAACTCGCAATGTGTATGTCATCCCGGGATAGAGGTCTGTCAGCTGTACAGGCTGGGCGTGGGCCTTAACAGGGACAGTTTTTTTCGTATGGTTGCCTGGGGAACAGAAACTTCAGTCAGCCCAGGGCCAGGTGTGAGCAGCTGGAGAGGCAGTGCTTAGGTCCCTGCTACCTGTCGAAGGTAGAGGAATGGGGGATGGCAGGGCCAGGCCACTGCACAGACCGGGAGGTCACCAGGCAGCTCCCACAGCAGCACTTGCGCACAGTGCTGACTCTCCCATGGGACGGCCTTCGGCAGAAAACACTGGACTCTCTCCTGGCACGGTTGTCCCTTACCAGCCTTGGCACTACGCATATTCACCTCCTTCCTTAACCTCTCAGGGTATCAGCCGATGCTGTTATCCTGAAGAAGGCCCGAGGGCCAGGGGCATCCCTCAGGGTACCTGGAGAGGCCTCTTATCTCTCCCTCTGTGGAGAATTCACCCATCGGCACAAGTGAGTGCCTGTGTCTGGGGTGGATGGGAGGAAGCTGAAAAAGTCCAACCCAAACTCGAGATTCTGGATTCTGTGAATGTGAATCGCCTCTGACCACAGAGAACTAAGGGCTGTCATGTTCTTCCCTCAGAAACCTTTGGGTGGCCAGCCCCACTGGGCGAGGTGGCTTACTTGTTTACAGTTCGTAGGCCAAAGAGGCCTACACAGTGGGCCTGACCCTCAGAGACAGAGGCCTTCACTCTACATTCAACAGATCTGTACCCATGGTCCCAAGATCCAGCGAAGTGTGAACAGCTCAGTGCAAGTCACCAGAGACAAATGACCCTGGTCTGTGTTCCCATGGCCACAGGCATCCCTCTGAACAAAGCAGTTGTACCCCAAGTCTGACCAGGCCATGTGTATATAGTGGGGATAGTGGAAAACGTGGATTCTGAGCTAAGGAGATCCGTGCAGAGGTGAGATCTGGCTCATCTGGGTGCTATTCAGAACCAGCATCCGGCCGGAAGTGGATGGAGGGCCCCATCACCCAGGGCCTCCCTAGCACATGCAACCCTAGACCTTGCTAATGGCTGCAGAAACCCCTTCCTTCTCCCTATGCCTGCCCCCCCCACCTCCCTGCAGTCGGAGCACATATCAATTTCACTAAGTCATAATTAAGCCAGCCTGACAGGCCTCTGTGAGCCTGGAGGAGTCCAAAGGATCTCTTTAATGGCATCTAGGCTACCCGCTGCAGCTGCCGCCGCCGCCGCCGCCACCCCGCACAGCAATGCTTACTGTCAATGTACTCAACCACAAAGTCAGTTCCGGGCCCGAAATTGTGCTTCCAGGTGATGTTGGCCCATTTACTGTTGGGGAGCACCGTGACGTTCCATATGGACTGCTCGTCGGGGGCTGGTGGGCAGGTTAGAAGAGGAGTTAGTGGTGAGGAGGGAGGCAGCGCTGGAGACAGAGAGACAGACAGACACACATGGCCAGGAAAGGGTAGAGTCAGAAGTGGCTGTGCACAGGGCCCGACAGCTCCAAGCTGCAGCCTTCGTGGCCAGGCCAGAGGTCGCCATCCAGGTACAAGCAGGTGCAGTTCGGGGGATCCACACATAAGGGAGGGCTGTAAACTGTCCGTATGTCCACATAGGTGGGGTAGGAATGAAAGAGTGAGTTTTGGTCCATATTATTGCAGGCTCTAACCTGGGCTCATTCCCTTTTTAGATCAGTCATGGATGTGAACAGTGCAGTGAAAGGAGCTGGGAGAAAGCCCTGCTCGCTCAAGTGCAGACGGCGGGGGAGCGATGTGCCCACCTCCTTCCCTGCAACGACTGACATGCTACAGGAAGGACAGAAGGCATCTTTCAAAGCCACTCAAGAGCGGTGATGAGATTTGCAGAAAGGACAGGATCAAACAAGAGAGAACCTTTATGAGCTCCTGACACTGGAGGAGGGGATGGTAACCGGACAGGGACGCTGGTCCGAGGAGCCCCTGCGGTCATTCTTAGTCACCCAAACCCTGGACTATGTAGGAAATGGCCTCAGGTTGTCTAAGGGGACTTGGGATCCGAGAGTCCCAAGGAGAGACAGTGTGAACCCTTCCTCTCCCTCTCGTGGGCAAGGTGGGACCAAGAAAAGATAACTGCTGTTTGACATCCAACCCTCAGCGGTCCAGGCACTGGGAGAATTCTGTTCTGTTGGCTTCTCAGCACCACAGTCTCTTTGAAGCTCCATCTCCATGCAACACAGAAGACATTAATTATCTAGTTCTTATGAGCTGGGAGCTACTTTATCAAAGCCATTGCCCTGTCTGATACCATAGCCTGTGGACAGGAGAATGGTGCCAATCTTCAAACGTAATCGGTTTTCAAGAGTCCCAGCAGTCTGATTACCTCATTTCCGAGCAAAGACTTAATGGTGGAGTGCTAGCATGGGGCCTTGTATTTCAGAGACTTTACAAGTACGGCTCCTGTATATTTTATTAGCATGCGAGGGGGCACTGTCACCAACTCACTTGTCAAATATAAATGGAGTGCATTGGTGATGCATTTATTCATTATCTGTTTGACATGTGACTGAGTCTGCAGGGCTTGGGAAGTGATAAAAGATCTGGTCTTCACTTCAAAGAAGTGTCTTCTCTACTACAACCTTGTCAGTTGACGGTTGCCCCAGGTGAATACAATTCATGTTAGATGAGAGACCAAGAAAGATATTTCATTGATGGCACCATAGGGCATTCTGCATGGGGGGAGGGCAGAAGGTAGGCTTCTTTACTTATCTTCCAGATGTTTCCATTGTACTGGCTGCTTTAGGCCACCCCGATCCCAGCTTCGTGGAATCTCATGGCTCTTGCTAGTGGGAATGAATTACGATTAGTCATAATTGGGGGACTTGAATTTCCTCCTCCTAAGCTCTGGGGCCTGGAAATAGCCAGAGAATTGGGTTTAATCAGTTTGGCCACCAATACAACATTGATTAAAATCTCACCGTCTTAAAGATCAATTAGATTGGGGCACTATTAGAAAAAGTCAAGTGACGGGAAACCAAAACAATTTAGAGGTGGGGGTTGGAGAAAGTTACTGCCATACAGACAGGCCAAGACAATGACCGCTAAAGACCTGAAAAGTTCAAAGAGAGAGGCCAACAGAGAGAGCTATTGATGACTAACAAAACAAGAGGGTAAGTCAGGTGGAATTGTCCTGCTGACTCCTAGAATGTGACAATTAGGGAGAATCCCTTGAAATCTGAAGATGGTACAAATAAAAAGTCCCAGTTTACCCTGAGAAAAGTAAACTTTTTGTTCTAAGATGAAAGACATGATAAAAATGAAAATTTATTTAAAACACCCTGGATGGCAGAGCCATTCTGCTGCACCAAGGAACATGAGGATGTTTGAGGGGTGTTCCCAAGCTCTAAGAATAAGATCGGGGGTGTGGCCAAGCCCTCTGCAGTGCCCCTGGCGGTTAGAAGTCAGGGTGTGAGAGTCTGTGGGGCTGGCCTTATGTGGCAGCAAGGCCAACCCTTTTAGAGGGCAAGTAGCTGCTGGTGAGCAAGATCCACTCTTTATACATCTCTGCTGTGAACGCAAAGCATTCAAGTGGGACACAAAGCCCTACTTTAGTGCAAAAGCTATTTCACCATGGGGTTCCAAAGAACACCCATCACCAAACACTGGTGGCAGCTTTCTCCTCAACCAATCATTTCCTAAAATGCATGTTGTTTAAATTCTGGATATTGCACCTTTAAAGCAAACCAGCGATTTCAAGGTCTGAGGAGCATGTCAGCTACGGGTTGCATCACTCCATGCCACTGAATTAAAGAAAATGCACATGGACTAGGCCTCCGTCCTCATGCTAAGAGAAATGGACGGGTGGGAGACAGGCCTTGGAAGGTGAAGGGACTTGCCCAGGAAGCAGCTGCTGGAGGAAGGTTCTGGGCGCGTCCCGCAGCCCTCCGGCTGCAATCACGCCGATTTTATCGCTGGCCTGTGGGCTCTGTGAGCTAGAGGCCCTCCCCTCTGTGATAACAGGAGTGTTTGATGCTCGGCTTTTAGAAATATCATTGGGTTTCTGAGGGGTCTCCTCGAGCCAGAGGAACAGAGCTGCCTGGCCGGGGCGGAGGGGGCGATGCCAGAACAGCACCTGCCTGGCTCCACAGGCCAGCCTGCGGCCGGCTCCCCCCAGGGGCCCTAGAGAGGCTGTGGTCTTCCCATGTGTGCATGTGGGGGCGTGGGCAGTGCGAGTGGGAGGAACAACAGAGCTCTGTCAGGCGATACTCTGTCCTGGAAGTGTGCCCTGGTGGGAGAGGGGCCATGGAGGAGCAGGTTCTGGGAGCAGAGCTGCCTGGGAGGCCAGCCGTTTGCCACTCCTCAGCCCTCTGTGCTGCAGGGCGAGGTGCGACAGGGCCAGGGCAGGAGCCTTCTCAGGACAGTTGGCCACTGTCAGGCCCCTGTCCTTCCTCACACCCTCTCCTTCCTGAGCGCTCGGCCCTGAGCTGACTGCTTGGCATGTAGTTGGAGGCAGACCCACCATGCAGGGCCCGGGGGTCCTGCCTGAGGAGTGTGGCCTCTGTTAAAGGACAGAGGTCTACGGCGAGGATGAGGGGGACGAAGTGGTGGAGAACCATCCAAAGGGTGCGGCGGGGCCACCATGTGCCACGAGGCCACCAGACTGAGAATCCAGTCATGTGTGTTTTCAAAGTAGAAACAAGGGGAGGCGTTGGTTACCATCATCCCAGACCCCTCCTGCCTGGGGGTGCCTGTGGGTAGAGGGACGGGGAGCATGGGCAGTGGGCAGTACCGGATTCATGTGTCTTAGTCTCGATGGCGGGAGGACTCTCCGTGGTGGTGGTGGTGGCGGCAGTGGCTGTAGTAGTTGTGGCGACGGTGGTAGCGATGGTGGTAGGTGCAACAGTTGGGATGATGGGGACTGTTGCGGCTTCGGTGGTGGCAGCAGTGGCAGTAGCATCAGTACTGCTCACAGCGCCCGTGGCACCCACCGTAGTCGGGGGCAACGTGGGAGGAGCTGAGAGGAAAATGTAAAACAGCCGAGTCTGGTTGGTTGGGCTGTTCCCAGCCGGGACACACGGCCCCCGCGTGCAAGGCAGGCAGCCCGGTGACGACATGGAGCTGGGTCATCAGCTGCCTCCCCAGGCACGACGGACGGGCTGGGTCACATGGATCACAGTGAGAGGGCACGCCATGTGACGGGAAGAGAATGAAGCCGTGCGTGTTTCATTTTCTTCTCATGCTCTGTGGCTCAAAGCACCCAGCATGCATCCAGCCAAGGGCAGGGATGAGGATGGAAAGGGACAAGTTCTGAATCGCTCAGACCTCAAGGGGCGACGGCATGGGGTCCCAGGCCAAGCACCACCCAGACACAGGCCGCGCAGCACCTCGGCCCAGCCCTGGAGCCTGGCCTCGGAGGTGGGCAGACAGCTGGGTCCCCCCCTACAGGGGCACCAGGACGTCCGCCACTCCCAACCAGTCACCCCAAATTCCCCTTCCCCCGTCTGCATTTCTCATGCCACCAGAGAGAACAATCTCCACTCTGCGGAGCCTGCCACGTGGTTCGCCTCTCCTGCCTCTGCTCCCAACCCACCCGGGCCCTCCTGTCGCCTCCGCCCGGGGACGGTCCTCCCTGCAGTCTCCCCCTTCCACCCGGGACTGCAGGGACTGCCTTTCTCTCTAGGACATTTGGGGCCCAGGTGTCCCAAGTCCTTTCCCTTCGCATTAGAACAGGGAAAAGGGCAGGAATGGAAGCATCTCTTCCCAGCCCACAGCAGACACAGAAGCCCCAGGACACAAGGGAGATACGTGCTGTACCTTCTTTTTTGCATAAGTCCTCAGAGGGTTCAAATATGGGCTAACTCTCCTGCTCACATCTTCCATCCAAAACGAGGCAGCCCTTGGGGCTAAGTCTGTGGCATGTGACCTCTTTCCCTCTACAAGGGTCCTGGAAGCTGACCAAGGTCTGTCCTATTAGTCCTTGCTGCTAAAGCTTGAGGGTATGAGAAGAATAATGGGGGAGACAGAGCAGCCTCTCCCGCGGGCGCTGCCCCTCCTGGGATCTGATCGCTGTCCATTGCTGGCGTCAATGCTGACAGGGCAGTAGGCAGCATGATGAGACATAAGTAGGTAACTCTAACTCCCAAGGAATAGTGACATCCCACCCGACCTCAAATCTCTGTAAGTTCAGGAAAATAATATCCTCACCCCCGAAAAAGGGGGCCAGGCCAGGGAGGGAGCCGGAGAGGAAACCGTCCGAGTGTTTTTCCCAGGGAGAGTAAAGAGAATCCTAAGCTTTCTCAACAAGAGCCTGACCAACAAGAGTCCTTTCATTCCCCTGGGCCTCCACTATTATGAGACCCCACAGAGAGGGGACGGTTCCTGGGGTCCCTCGTTCCTTCCCTATCCGTAAGATCAGAGGCATTATTAGGCCCGGAGGGTGCTGACCACAGAAGTCACACTGGGCGGCTGATGAACACATTCCAGAGATTCCTGGGCAAAGCCAAAGCAGAGCCCACAGACATCAGGAAGGGGTGTGGGGGTGTGGGGTGGGGATAACTTCCCTCCCACAGTCCTCATCCAAGGATATATTCAGTCCCGGGCCTGGAGGCTCAGCGCTGTAAAAGCTCAGCATAAGGGAATTCACCTATTGCACCCACCAACACAGGCAGGCAGGCACGTGATGTGGAGAAGCCGAGACCCCCACCAGGCAAAGGTCGGCTCTCCCCCAGGCCCAGTCCCTGGTGGTTCCCATGGCCACCGAAACACACCTGCTCGGTGCTGTTCGAAGGAACCTCAAGGGGCTAGTCTGTCCAGCTGGCTTAGGACTGCTCTAATTTGGTTCCTTATCAATAGTGTATTTTCTAAACACTTCCGGCAAATACAATGCTCACAGGGCCTCCCTTTTCTGTGATTATTTAAAAGGTACCACCAAAACAAACAAACAAACAAAAACCTTAAAAGACTCCCGTTTAACTTCAATCATCCCACTGTGGGTGACAGAGACCTGGGCTTCTGTGCCTACATGCACAGTGCGGTTACATTTCCCAAGCCATCCATTGGTCCTTGTACTGGCAGGGGTACACACGCTCACACTCACTGCCAGGCTCGCACATGCGACCCTGTGTCCCGGTGAGCAGCCTCAGTAACAGAGATGCTGAGAGAGGCTGGGGTCCTGCCAGTTCTCCCTGGGCCAGCTAGTCCGAGACAGGAATGACAAACGGCTCGGCTCGAGGACTGTTCCACGCAGCCTCCTCCCCTCCCTCTGAGGGTCCCTTTTGCCAAGTGTGACTGAAAAGGAGTGATTCTCTCTGATGATAGCAACCTAGTTGCTTCTCCTTTGCTCAGTGACAACAGCCTCAGGGTATGAGTGAGAGGGGCCCGAGCTCCGTGTGAGAGGGAAGAAACCGCTCGCTTCCCAGGCGTCCAGGGAGTCACCGCAGAGGACACAACCTCAGCTGTCTGAGATAACAGCTGGCGCATAAGCATTCTCTGACCACTCATTAGCTGCATTTCTTGTCCCATGGCTGGACAGGGCCGGAGAGATAGGGAGGGCAGAGGCAAGGACAAGCTGAGGGAAGGGACAGAGGCAGGTGAGTTGTTAGGGGTGTATACAGGTGGAAAGGGAACGAAAGTTTTCGACAGGGAAAGTGTCCAGTGCTCAGGTGAAAGCGGGTTTAGGTGATTTCCACACCCTGGGGTGGGGTGGGGCTGGGGCAGAGGACAAGGGGGATAAAGCACAGAAATGGGGCTTATTGACAGAGTGGCCCCCGGGCTGGATAGACATATTGCGAGGAAGCCACCTCCGGCCACAGCAGAAACTATGGGCTAGAGAACCACCCTGGTCAGTGCCCAGTGGAGCCTGCCAGCCTGGCGACTGAGAAGGACGGTCAGAGCTGGAAGCACAGGACCCCGGCCCGAAGGCAGCGTCTACCTCACGGGTGGCCTAACGCACGCTGGAAGGCACCCAGCCAGGGCCGAAGGTTTCCCACCAGCTTTGGGAACACCACGTAGGGGATGGAGAGAGTTGAGAAAAGATCTTACTCATCTTTCTAACCCTAGAATCTGCCACGGAACTCCCTACCAAACATTTCCAGATCTGAGCTAAGTCAAAGATGCGGACAGCAGTTTCCAGACATTTCCAGGCGGGAGGTTCAATCCAAAAGCGCCCACATGGCACATGGACTGCCCTGCCCAAGTCACAGATGGCCAGGACAGATGGGCAGCAGCCCTGAGACAGCAGGTACAGTTGCATGACAGGGATCGTGCTCACTGGGTGAGATACAAACAGATCAGTTTGAGGAAAAACCGCCCAGGATTGGGGAGGCTGAGAGGGCAGGGAGCAGTGGGCCGGAGGCTGGGCCCACATCACAAATGTAGAACCTGGGTCCCAGTACCCAACACCTGCAGGGTGTGCCGAGGTTCTCATGCATTTGAGGCTGAGAAGAGCTGATGATCTCAGCACATCTCTTTACAAAGTGGGGCGATGTGCCTCTCAAACCATGCCCTATGGAAACTAGTGCCTAGGAAACGCACTGACCGATGGACAGAGAGCCTGCGCTCATCCTGCACGTCATGAACCTGAATCTTTTCTAGGCAGAAGCACAAAGTGGGGTGTTTGGAATTGCACCCATCACCCTTGGGCTTGCCTTTCAGGACAGGGGCGGCGCAGACTGGCAAGGATGCCCTGTGAGCCAGGCAGACTCCCTGCCACCCGACCCACCTGCCTTGGGTCCCCGGGCGCCAGGATGGGGGAGGTGGCTCAGGAGCTGCTCGACTGATGAGCTTCCAGATGCTGCTCCTGGTGCCCTCCCTGTGTCCCACCTTCACCAGGCCTGCTCTGGCTGCCCTGCACACCTGCTGCCGCAGGCCCAGAAGAGACCCTCCTGCACACTTGAAGCAGGAAGTCAGGGCAACCCTCTGAGTGCGAGATCAGCTTTCTCCCCCCTCTCCAGGGCATCGCGCTCATGTGGCAGCAGAGGAGCCGGACCCTGTGGGGAGGCCTGGGCCCCTGCCGGCCTGGGTTACTGGGGGTGGAGAGAAGTGGGAGAGCAGAGGAGGATGGCAGTGCACCACCCACAGATCTGGCTGACAAAACAAAGGCAAGCTGAGGAATCAGGTGCGCAACAGAAACAGAATCAACCTAATATGGGGTGGGGGGTAAATGAGCGAAGGAGGGTAGGAAACCAATTGGGCAAGGCGGGCGCTCTTCATAAGTCAACCCTCAGATTCCTCACCTGCTTCTCAGGTCACCCCCACTGCCTCAAGCCTAGGCGACCCCTTGCCTGACACCCTTTGCTCTGCCAGGGTGAGCTTTCTTCTCAGCTCCAGAGGAGGGCAGGTGATGGAGCCCTAGGGTCCCTTCTAGTGTCTCCAGCTGGAGGACTGGCCTTCTGCGGTGGAGCACCCTGTGATGTTCCTCAAGCCCACAAATGAGGACTTGAGAGGAGGAGCGTGGTTAGCAGGTCAGCTTCTATGCTCGGACCTGCCGGCCCAACTCCTATCTTCTGCGCATCAACCACCCAGAACCCGAGAGTGGAGACTGTTCTTAACACTGAAGACTGTTAGGAGCTGAGTCGCTGCAGGGTGAGGAGGCGATCAGCCCATGGCTCCCAGAGACTCCAGATCCTGGAGCACCTGACTCTGTCCGAGGATACGCTCACTGGCTCTCACTGAGCAGAACCACAAAAGATGGCAGAGCTGGTGCCGGGCCCCCATGCAGCATGCAAGGCCAGCATGCACAGTGTGTGCACTCACAGGTCACCCTTTCAAGGGCATGGCAGCCTGACCAGAGGACAGGAGCCAGCTGTGCCCATTTGCAGTGCAGCATCCTTTCTCGGGGCTCATCTGGCCCCTCAAAGGCTGCTGACCCTCTCTCTGTGCTCTGAGATGTCAAGCCTAGGCAAGGGGCCCGGTGGTTCAAGGGTGTAATCACTCAGCTTCAGAGAAAGCTCCAGCTCCAGGGAACAGGTCTGGAGCCCATGTGTGTGGGGCCCCTTCTAAGTCACCCTCCTTCTCAATAGGGGCAAAGAGTAAGTGGAGGGAGAAAAATGTGTTTGATTCTGGTCCCATCCTCTACACACATCCTCCTTGACAGCCTGGCTTCCCAACCACTGAAAGGGTGAGTCTGGAGCACACGTTCATTCCGAGCCTCTCCCTCTTTCTCTGCCTGGGTTGGGCTCCACCTGCATCATCCCAAGCCATGCCCATTACCTCCGCTGCTGGTACAGTACCTGCGGTTGGAGTAGCTTCAGAACACAGCGCCCAAGATGGCCAGAGAGGGAGAAAGGATAAGAGAGGGAAGAGAAAACAGAACACAGTTGAAATCACAGGACAAGCAGGCAGAGAAAGTTCTGGCTTAAAACTGACCCAGACAGTGTGGCCAAGTGCCGGCCACTACCCTGAGGATGCCAACTGGTATTCAGGGCTCATGTTCAACTTCACTGGGTCTGGTATGTTTCTACAGAAAACTTTCCACCTGGGTCTTGGAGGCCTTTCTAATACACTCCGATTCTACCTCTATTCCAGGTCTAGCATCTAAGAGGTGGCAACAGGCACCCACCTAGAGTGCTATGTTCCAAGGTCTTTCCCCAAGAGGACGGCCTTCCCAGGCTGGGCTGACCTTTATGAAGTGGGCTGGGTGACCCTCCATGATGCCAGGAATTGAGGGCTTAAGACGGAGGTGGTGTAGGAGGACACCAACCCCAGATGAAAGAATGGTTCCGGTGTCTTCAGGGGAAGACGCGGTGGATGGGAGAGGGGAAGTGTGTTTGCCTGGCCCCTCCCCACACCATCTCAGCCTTGAAAGGCCTGGGGATGGTGACAGATCCAAGCCTCGAGGCCCATTCTCTTGTTCTGTTGGTCCAGTTCTCGCCGACCAGTTGTACTTTATGAAATAAGAAACTCAACTGTGGACTGAGCCCTAAAAAGAATTCCTGAATTTGTTGCAAATCTCTAAGTTGAAAAGAAAGTGTTTGTTCTCCTGTTGCCTGGGACTGCAGAACTTTCCCTGTGTGGTGCCTGGAGCTAGACAATGCATCTTTATGTGACGTTCTATACTGGGGTGGAGATGGGCAGAAGAGGCTCTCTTTATGTATCTCCTTAGAGTTAAGCGATCAAGCAACTGCATCAGCCCTGGCTGGTGTGGCTCACCAAAAGGTCGCTGGTTTGATTCCCAGTCAGGGCACATGCTTGGGTTGCCAGCCAGGTTCACGGTTGGGGGTATGTGAGAAGCAACCAATCAATGTATATCTCACACATTGATGTTTCTCTCCCTTTCTTTCTCCCTTCCTTCCCCCCTCTCTAAAAGTAAATAAATAAAATCTTTTTTTAAAAAAAAAAAGGATTGAAAAGAACGGTGCATCATCCTTTGGTAATAAGGCATATACCAGGCACTGACCCAAAGCCCCCCAGCCCTAACAAGCTACTCAGTGGGGTTGGAAGGCCCAATTAGGGGAGCTTATTGTGTGGCTCGCTCCTGGTTTATGGGACAGGAGAGGGCTGTGGAAAGGACTGAAAGCCTTTTTCCAGCTCCTCATCCCCTCCCACCTTGTGCTGGCCTGCTGGCCAGGGAGGCAGGGGCTGGGAAGGGATTCAGGGCTGCCTGTGAAGCTGAATTGGGAGCCTGGAGTAAGGCAGCAGAGGCAGCAGAGCCTGGCAGCCCCAGGAAGAAAAAACTGGCGCTTTCCTGGGTGGCGGACGTGCTCAGGAGGCCTGATCCAGACCAGGAACAGGCTGCGGAACCCCCGCCTTCTGGAGAAAGCACCAAGAAATGATAACCTGCTGTCAGCTTCAAGGATCCCTACTTACTTCACCTCTTCTTTAAAGTCTGCCCCTGCAGACTCAACACCCTTGCTCCACACAACCACTGCATCTTCCCCATCTGAACACAACATTCCTCAGGTTAAACTGCAGCTAGATACTCTTGTGGATGTCTCCCCTTCTAGACTGTGTGAGCTTATTACCTATGAATCCTCCATTTTTGGCACAGTCTGGCACTTCACCTTGTGGGTGCTCAAGAAATGGCTTTTGAATTGACCACTGCACTCTTGGAGACGCAGTGGAGGAGTCCGGCTTTCCTGCCCATATCAAAGCTTCTATAGCCACAAACCCTCCATAGGTTCCTGGGCCTATGTGCAGGTGGGCCCGGGGCTCCCTCTAGTGGAGCTCTCATGCAGGTGCAGCTCCGGTGCGGATTGTTAAGCTCCTGGAAGATGCCAGGACCCAGGAGACAAATCCATTTGCTCTTTGTGAAGCTAGTTTGGCCAGGGGCTGTTTCCCAGCCTCCCCATTTTCTCTGCAGCTGACAACTCACTTGGTTCAGGCTGCAAGGAAGGACTACATGAACTCATGATCCAGGTAAGTAGCTTCAGTCAAGGTTATTTCCCCTCCGTCCTTGGCCCCATGTACTCTTGGGAAAAGGAGTATCCCTAGAGCCCTCAAGGGCACTGTCAATATTCATGCGTCTCTCAACAGGTGAGCACTTTCACTGTTCCTTGGGGTCTATTAACATATTTACTTCCAACACACTTTCCCTCATCTCCCCTTTGCTCAGAACTCATGCTCTCTTCCACATTCCCCCACTAGAACGAAAGATGACCGAGGTTACATAGCTGAGCAAGTCAAGGCAAAGTGGGGACCCAGGTCTGATGGCAAGTCTAAGGAGACCTGAGTTCTGCAGACACGTCGCCAGCACCTACCTGTCAGCATACAAGATGGGCTCTCTGCTTCGAGGGCTGAAGGACCTGTAGCCTCATTTCCTCCCCAGGCCAGGAGGCCGGACAGCCAGAGGCCAGGCCAGAGTGTCTCTCTGGGACCTGTGGTCCCTGCGGCTGGCACAATGCACCTACCTTCATTCGGGGGCGCTGGTGACTCCTCCGTGACTGCTTCCCCAGAGCCCACCTGCGTCCTGGCACTCAGGGTGAAGCGGTAGCGTGACACGGGGTCTGCTCTTTGCATCGTGAACTTGGTCTGATTGGGAGAGAAGTTCTCCACTATCTGCTTTCCTACTTTGGTTCCATTAACTGGGGAGAGATAAGTAAATGAAATCGAACTTCGGCAATGTCGACCATGGTGTGTTATATAGCTTGCGGCTGGGAGAAGCAAACCTTCTCGATTCTGCTGGAAGGGGACACGGTGAAACCTGCCCACGTACTTAAAGCCTAGGGCAGGGGAGACTGGGCTCAAGGGCAGAGCGCAGGGCGAGAACTCCTTTCCAGGGCTTTGGTGACATACCAAGGTTAATACTTTCTCACTGATCTGGCTACCTCCAGCTCTCAGCCAAGTTATGGGGCTGATTCTGAAAGACTCAGTTTATAATCTCCCAAGCCTTTTCAACAAGGACAAAACTTAGGAGTTTCCTTCTTCCTTTCAAACAGAACTAGGGCAAACCCACTAGAGCTTTAGATGGCTAATGCTGCGTTTGTAAAAAGCCAATTCAATGTACTTCAAAGGGGGAAGGTTAGCTTCAGAGATCAGTCTGGAACAGCACACAACACACAGTTGGGCATTAAAGCTGCTGACACAATACCCAGCCCTCTGAGCTCCCAGTGAGGTACAACATCACCTACTTTAGACGGCTTAACATTTTAAAAATGTTATGACACTTCTGTCCCTGCACGGTGACACTGAACTCCTAAGGAGAGGTCTTCTCTGACCCAGGCTCCTGATTGGGTCACTCTAAGTTACGACAGGTCTACGTACAGCTGCCTTACCGTAACTGACATCTTGTTAGGGTGTCCCTGAGCCTTGGCTGGGCTCCTGTGCAGGTACTATCTGCCCCATTGGATGGCGCCATCAGAGGACAAACTCTCCTAGCTGCAGGTGTTAGAGCCTAAGATCCCTGAGGGCTGGCCCTGACCCCTCCTTAGACCGGAAGTCCCCTTCGTCTCCTGGGGCAACTAGAAGCTCCCTGCCGGAGGGGCTGTGTCAGGAAAGCAGGGTCTGGGTCTCACCTGCCTTCCCTAGTCCTATGGGGGAGGCCTTTTCCCTGGCAATGCCCTGCACCACAGGCTCCTCAGTCCCTTAAGAAAAGTGGTGAGAATGGGGTTCCTGATTCCCAGATTATCTAAGAGAAAGCAGAGCAAAACGTACAGGCCACATATCTGAGAGAATATCCAGTGAGGATCCCATTGGGGTGTTCCGGATGGTCCCATTCCAGGTTGATTGTCTGCAGGTTGGGCTGCCGGACTCGGAAACGCCTGGGGGCACTGGGTACTTGGGGAAGGAGAACACAGTGGGGGAGGCGAGGGTGAGAGGAGGGGGTGGGCAGGACGAGGAAAACAAAAACAGAGCACAAGTATGAAAGCAGTGATCTCGGGCAACCCCCGTGCTAGGCAGCTGCTAAGCCGCAGACCGTCGCCCCTCTGGGGTGGTGCTTCCCTTGTTCGGGACCAGGACGCCTCAGGCTCGATTTAAATGGGAGAAGTAAATCGAGGGCTCTGTTAGTAACTACCGTGGATTGTGCACATTAGGCTCTGATTCTGCAAAGATACCTCCCAGGGGGGCAAAGCACGTCTCGGGCAGGGAAACAACCGTCGCTGTTGCCTACAAAGGCTGCAGCTCCTGATCCTCAGACAAGGGTTCTTGCTGCTGGGTCCAAGCAGCAGGCCCAAGCCTCCGAGCTGAGGATGCTGGACTCAGGGGGGAAGAGGAAAGAAGGCCAAGATGGAACACGTGGGCAGGTGAGAAGCAGGGGCGATGCGGAGACGCTGATGGTGAAAACCAAAACAAGGAGGAGGGAAAGACAGGAATAAAGAAAACAAGAGGGAAGACCAACAGAGAGTCAAAAAGAGGAGCAGGAGAAGAAAATGGGGAAAATAACAGTTAAGAAGGGAGGGAGGAGAAATAGGAGAAATAGAAATGGGCAAAGCAAGTGCCACACTCATAAGAGAGGATTGGCGAGGACTGGAGGTGAAGTGGGGACTTCATAGGTGTCTGCCTCCCAGGACCAGGGTGAGTGTGACCCACAGAAGGCAGGTGTCCCTCTGCAGGGCTGCTGCACCTCTGGGCAGACAATCTCAGTGAAAGCTTCTTGCTTGCAGTGGTGAGAACTCTGTAGGTCGTGGGTGCTGGTAAACAGACCAGGTGCCTCTGGTGGTCAGGGCGACTGTGCTTCAGCCTCGGAAGGCAGCAGGCAGCCCAGGCTCCTGCAGGGCCCTGGGCGTAGCCTGTCTGGAATTGTGTCATCGGACCACACAAGTCTTCTCCTGCAGTACAGCCTCATCAGGGCAGGCCACCTAGGTGACATAGTGCTCTGTGGGAGTGGTGGGACCTGCTCAGCTCACAGGTCGTCAGCTCCTTGAGGTCACGCCGAGGTCACCCTGTGCTGTCCATGCCAGGCCGCAGTGGAGCTGCTCCAGGTCCACCTGAATGTGGCACCCTTGTCCTGCCCCACCCTGAAGAGCTGCAGGTCAGACCTACCTCCTTCCGGGGTGGTGAACTCCTTGGTTTCACTGCGAGGCCCATCGCCTCTCCCATTGACCACAACCATCTCCAGCTTGTAGTTACTGTAGGGAAAGAGGCGGGACACCACACCCCGGAGGCGGTCACCAGGGAAGCTGGCTTGCTGTCTCTTCTGAGACACCCACAGGCTCTTCAGTAAGCTGCTCTCCCTCCAGTAGTAGGCCTTCAGGACAGAGGCAGGCCGGTGAGGGGACGGTCAGGCAGAACGGGGTTAGTTGTTAGTGGTGGCAGGAGTGACTGATCTTCCCTTTGCTTGCCACAGGCTCCAGGTTCCAAAGGAACTCATCAGTCCCACACAGGGCTGCGGGAGTGGCCTGATAGTCCCCCTTCATTAGCCAGTAGTGAGCATGAACTGATGTCAAACAAGAAATACAGTTTTGGTTTCAATCACCTCTTTGAGGAACAGGCAAGTCGGCCAGGCTTACAGCTGCACCGCTCCATCGTCAGCCTTATTTCCAAGCTGGGGAGCAGGTTGTTCAGGGAGTTGGTGCCCAAACCACAAATATGAGCCAAAGGTCCAAGCATGGAAAGCTCTGTCCTGTGCTCAAAGACTGCCTGCCCTTGCGTCAGATTAGTATGGTTGAAGACTGGCAGCAGAGAGGAGTTGGCCAGTAGTGGATTACCCCCAGAAGTCTGAATATGAGAAAGGGTTGATTTAATCCTTTGAGGTCAAATGTTTCTTTTAATACTGTGTGAAGACCTTTAGAATGGGACAGACCCATGTCAAGGTCAGAGAGATGCCAGGCTGCCTGGCGGCGAGAGCTTGGATGGAATGGCCTATGGAAGGTGGCAGTGTCACAGGTAAGATTGAGGGAGTTTGTGACAAAGTCTGATTAGCAGTGGGGAAGAAGCTCCAGGTCAGGCTGCCACACCAGTGTCGCCGAGGCCTCCAACGGCGAGATGAGGAGGAAGTGCAGACTTAAGAGGGGGACCCAATGGGACCGTTAGCCAGAAATGTCTCCAGGCAAACAGGTTAAGGGTGCCAGCCAATGGTTAGGGAAGAGCTTGTTCAAGTGTATATATCATCTTGCCTGCCTTCCCCCACTTACCACTTACCAGATTCATTTCCCAAGAAGAGGCTGACCCCCTCTGCTCTGTCCCTAATTATTCATCAGCCAGTGCTCAATGACTTCTGAGGTCACAGAAACGTTAGCCCACGGCTGCAGCCTCCCTCACGTCCCAGGGAACATTTAAATAGAGCTGCCCACAGGAAGAGCCTTGCACACCCTGGGTTTTCTCCCCCTTTTTCCCCCACCTCAGCTCATCCTTTCAAAGAGGGCTGGAGATCGAGCAGCAACTGCTCACAGGCAGGAAGACCAGAAGCCAAGAGCCTGGATAATGCACGTGCTGGACAACCAGGAGTTGGCTGCGACAACAGGGAAGGCTTTTGCACCCTTTTAGTCGTTATACCTGTTAGTTGGGGCTTCATACAATCAGACTGGGTGAGGCAAGCAGCCCAGTGGGGGGCACTGAGGAGCAGGCAGGATGTAGGTCAGCGATGCATCGACAGAGTTTCTGAGGATGCATGTGTGTCCACTCATGCCTTGCCAGCATGGTGTGCTAACAACGTCTTCCCAAACCCACCACCCTTCATGTGATTTTCTGCTGAGCAGAATCGCTCAGCGTATCTGTTGCAGGACACATCTGGATGACTCTAACCCTAGACATCATCTTCTTGAGTCAACTCTGGACTCCTTCCAACATCTCCCAGCCTGCGCCTGCTCCCCATTTGCCCTGGTTATCGAGCTGGGTGGTTAGGGGGGTGGGGGCTGGCTTCCTCACTCGGTATTCTCTGAGCTGGCCCTGGACCGTGTCGGAGTAGACGCGGTTCCACTGAAGGCTGATGGCTGTGCTGTTCAGGACTCGGATTTTAACCTCAGTGGGCGCAGCCCTGGGATCTGCAATGTGTTGGGACAGAGAGCAGGTTACGCTGGCCCCAGGACCTCAGGATCCCCTCAACTTGTTCTCTGCTGCTCATATCTGCACCCCATGCTGGACCCTGGATACACCGCGAGGGCAGGGGCCATGTCCCCTCCATCATACTGTACTTGGGAGGGCGGAGAAAGGCTCGGAACAAAATGAGAGCAGTCCAGGTAGGAGGGCAATTATGTGCTACCCTCACATGCCGCAGGGTCTCTATTTGCACCCCACGCCACTCTCCACCCTTCCCCACCCTGCTCTGTGTCCCGGGAAGCTGCCCTTTAGGGAACTAGGCTCCCTTGTTCTCAGGTTTCCACAGGAGTCTGCCCAGTAAGAAGTGCAAACAGAAGATGCTGGGGCAGAAGGAAAGGTAGCCATTCCCCTGGCTGCCTGTTTGCGGGACTGAGGGTTGACAGCTGTTCAGCTGTTGCATTCTTCTGCCATGGCTTCTGTGGATGGCCCTCAATGGCTGCAGTGACTCACCCACTCCCTGCCCCCTCAAGGCTCAGGGTGGCACCCTGCTGTGACCAGCCCCCCAGCTGGTTCACCATATCTCGCTGCTTTCCCTCTAAGCCTGCCCTCGCATTAGAACTAGTTCCCTTTGAAGGACACTTGTTTCCTGCCAGAAAACATTACCACCAGACTAAAGGAGCCCTATCCACGACTACCTGGAGAGGGAGGGCCACTCCCGCCCCCGTAACAGACCCCTACCCGCCCTTCTCCGTTCTGCTGCTAATGCAGTTACGCCCCATCCCCGCCACTCCATCAGAGCAGAGGCCGCAGGGGTAGACAGATGCGATGGAAACTGTGGGGCGGCCCATGAAGTTCATGACCAGGTGCTGCCCATTCCGTACTTACCCTCCACTTCTCTCCTGTCCAGCAGTGTCTGCCACCATGGAGATGAGAAGTGGAATGGACCGAGGGCCTGCCGACCCCTTCTGCTCATCTCCCAAGTGGGTTCAATCCATAATCACCTCCAGGAAAGTAGGCACAGGGCCCGCCCCTCGCCCCTTCCCATCTCACTGTCGCAAACAGTGCCGGCCTGACCCCGGCCGCGGCCTTGCTCCTGTGGCTCTGCTCCGCCCCCTTCCTTTTGGCTGCTCCATGATCTCTTCTTAGGTCAGACCCAGACCCACTGGGGTTCAGATTATCCTGACCTGGGGGTGGGCTTCACCCACTCTCTTGCTTTGCCCAGCAGCCTACTGGATTGATGCACTGGGGACAAAGAGGCCACTACCGCCTAGGAAACCAGGCACATATCTGTCCGGGCACAGATGTGTCCGAAGGACCACATATATGTCCAGAATCTTATTGATTCATCCAGTGCAAGCTCCAAAGAACTTTTTCTGCTCAATTCCAAGGGCCAAGAGCATCGCTGGGAATGCTGGCAGGAGGCTGGTCTGGGCGCTTCCAGTCCGGGGCTCTGCAGACTATCCCGGAAGGCCTCCCCTGGGGAGCCTGGGGAGGAGTCTGGCCTGTGGCCCTGCTGCCTGGGGAGGAGTCTATTTTGGCTCTTTGGGACACATAGTCCTGAGGTCTTCCTTGCCTCTAGCAAGGACTGGCAATAAGGCAGAACAGAGGGCTTGGTTTCTTTTTCACGCCTGACATTTGCTATTGTGTGATATTGGCAAGGGCTTTCCTTGCGCAGTCTCAGTTTTCACATCCATAAAAATGACAGCATTGGACTAGGTGATGATGCTCAGTAATTTTAAATAGTGTTCAGGTGATAATATTTCTACCCCTGACATTACCAGGGACCCGCCTGTTATTAGACGGGTCACTGTAGGGGATTTCTCTTTCCTGGGAACTGGCTGTCCTCTGGGATGTTCTTGCAAGTCTCGCAACCCACCTCAAGATTCCTAGTCTGTGAGGGTGACTCTTTTGCAGCCCCGTGGGGAGGGTCCTGGGTGGAGGACAAGGGGAAGGTACTCACAATCTTCTCCAGAGTAACCGATGACAGTCTCTGGCTCAGGGCCCTTCCCAAAGTCATTTTCAGCCTGCACTCGGATCTCATAGGGCACGTAGACAGGGGTCGGCCCTACCACGTAGCGGGAGCCCCACACCGTGACATTGTTCCAGGTCTCTCGAGTCTCTCTCCGCCGCCACTTGACGATGTAGCGCAGGTTGGGGCCAAAGGCGGAGGTGGCATTCATGGGCTGAGCAGGAAGAGACAGAGGGCAGGAGTGGAGGCGGCAGGTGGGGAGCCCAGACTCACCCACAGCTCACACTCTCTCTATGCCAGGCACCCCTTCCCAATCTGCCTGACACTGACCAGCCCCCCCGCCCCCGCTGAGTCCTCCAAGAGCCCAGAGTCCTCTGCACCCAGCAGCATGTAGATCTTCTGTGACAAAAGTGTCACCTAGACCTAGTCACTATAACTCCCACATTGGCAAGTGTGTAGAAAGCAAAAGCTTTATTTTTGATGGGACTCTTTCCTATGATGGAGCAACAAGAAAAAATGTGGATGATGATGTAATATTCTCCAAGGTTGGAAAGGCATGACTCCTGGTTTAGCCACTGCCTGCCTCCTGCCAATGAGCTCAAAATTACAGAGCCGACTTTGGCTCCCCCGAAGCTGGGCATGCTGCTCTGTCCTTCCAGCAGGCCAGAGCTCTCTGAGAGGGGGCAGAACTCTGATCTTTGTTCCCTGAGGACCTGCTCCCGTCCCCTGGAGCCCGCAGGATGGAGCACAGAGCGCAAGCTGACCCGTGCATGGTCCTGAAGTTGTGCCCGGCGTCTGGAAGCTGGGCTCGTCCCCTTCGCTAAGGCGGCTGTGAGACCAGGCCCTCACCAGCATGGGCGTGAGCTGCCTTCCCAACACTGAGTGTCCCGTTTCTATGACTCACAGCAAAAGCACAGCTGTGTTAATATTTCAGCAGCCGAATTTACACCTCTCAGACTTGGAAGTGGTTTGAGGAAGAGTCATTTTGAGGAAACATACCTAATTTTGATTTGGAAAGTGTAGTTAGTGAGCCAAAATGAAAATGGCCTGGAGCTACCTAGCCCCCTCCTCAACGGAGAGGAGGGCTACACCGAAAACGCCACGGCTGCTGGTCACTCCTCATTCCCAGCAACCAGTGAAGGGCCCAGGACACACCAGAGCCAGAACTGGTGTTCGTGCCAAATCTTCCCCAGACTCTAACCTCAATCCCTCCTTCTGACGGAGTCCATTGTATTTTGCTGGTTCTCTCTATGATTGTGCCAAACTGCTAGTCTCCTCTGCTCCTCTCTCCTGTCTTAAATCTCGCTCTAGACATGATCCTGCTTGGTTTCTGGATGCCCAACGCAGAGAAGAGTGGCCACCAAACCAGCCAGGTGGCCTGAGCCACCGTGTGGCCTTGAGGTGGCGGGGGTATAAAGGGCAAGGGGGTCACAGGTGCACACCACCACCCTTCAGGGGTTGCGCTGGGAGGGACACTAACCGTCCACGTGATCTCCATGTTGTTCTTTCTGGTCCCCTCTCCTTTCACGTCGCTGGGATTGGACTCAGGGGCTGGAACCCAAATCAACACAAAGTTCAAGCCCAATTTGTGCCTTTCCAGGGCATGGTGAGCAACCTCTGCCCCTCCCACCCCGCCAGCCTCTCCCATGCTTTTCCACAGCCTCTCTCTGCCCTCTGTCGCATGGACAATGAACTTGTGCTGTTGTTTCTCATGTGTGTGATGTGTCTTCCTAGCTAAGATTTAACCCCCTCCCCCCAAAGCAGGGCTAATTTCTTTTCAATGTTGATCCCCTACCAGAATTTATCATGAGGCTTTTCACATTTTAGATGGTCATATAGCCAACTCAGTGTGGATTATCCCCTTTGTGAATTATCCACTAAATGTGTTTAATCTGAGGCTGGTTTATCCTCAGCATTTAACATTTTGGGGGATGTCGACGAGCTGGCATGATTTCAGAAATCTAAATATTACTCAGGAAAAGAAATCCAGTAGAATAGCAGATTACACAGTTCTACTGCAGATCTTTGCTGTAGCTCTTCCTTTTAAAGCATATCATCAAGAATTATTAATGATATTAGCAATAATAAAAATGACAGTTAACATTTAGTAAGTGCTTACTATATGCCAGGCATCATGGTAAGTACTGGTATTGCATTTCAAATGTAATCCTCTATGCCAGCAGGTATTATGTTGTGCTTCACAGGTGAGGAAGCCACGCTTTGGGAGAGGTAAGTGACTTGTCCAGATTCGTGTGGCTGGGGGCTGGGGGAACTCAGTTTGAACTCAGGGTATCTGCTTCTAGCACCTTCTCTGTTAGCCCTCAAGTACTCACGTGCCCCACTGGTTCTGTAGCGCTCGGATGGGAGGCTGGGGTGGCTGCTGCCAACCTCGTTGATGGCAATGACCCGGAACTGGTAGTTGACGTATGGGGACAGCTGGAGGACAGCTGAGTTGACACTGCCTGGGAACTTGGAATGGTCATGCCAGACTCCTGGCTGGAACTGGTCCTCTTCAAACTGGACGACATACTCTGAGCAGGCAAGGAAGACAGAGCTCTTTAGGAGCTGCGTTAGCAGACTTCTTCCTTAAGAGCACTCCCTCACGGTTTTCATTGGTCTCCATAACCCCCCTCAGGTGGACAAAGGCACAGAGAGAATTCCTATCAAGACGCTGAAAGGGAAACCAAGGCTTCCACGTGTTCTGCAAACAGCCCAGGGCACAGGTCAAGTGAGGTGGGTGTGGGGCCAGAAACCAGCGCAAGACCTCCAATCTCCAGGCTGCTCCCACCCCTCTTCTCTGGGCTGGAGCGCAGGCCCTGGCTGACCTGTGATGGGGCTGTTGTTATCGTCCCCTGGGATCCAGGTCAGCCTCACGCTCCTCTCGGCCAGGTCAGTGAGCTCCAGGTCCCGGGGTCGGTCTGGCCGTCCTGGCAGCGGAGAGAGGAGATACCACGTGGGACTCCTGAGTAAGAGCCAGCCCACCCTTGTGCCGGCCCCATCCCAGGACACTGTCCTGTGGGCAGGTCCCTGGTGGGCTGAGGTTGCCACAGCAGGTAATGCCCCCAGCCTGCCCTAGTGGGTCGGCACGGGGTCCACCGCTGCCCTCAGGTATTCAAGGAAGAACAAAGAGGAGACCCCAATTCCACACCCCCTCAAGAGTATCAAAGGATGCAGGGCACAGAGAGAGAATTCGGACCAACCCATCCCATTTCTGCAGGTAGTCTTAGAGCATAAGCATTTGGAAATGCTTTTCACTAGACACAAATGCCTTTGACACATTTAGGAAAGCCAGGGCGGAAGTATGAAGTTTTGTCCATTTCTCATGATAATTACTTTCTACTCCGCACGTCAAGGCTCTGAGGAGCAGGGGCCCAGAAGGGTGTTTGGAGGGCTGAGGGGGGCAGAGAGGTCCAGGGAATGAGAGGGATGAAGGGGACCAGGCCAGGAGCAGATGGGGATTTGGTCAAGAAGTCTCAGCGATGGGCAGAGGATGGAGGAGCCCCAGCAGGCTCCCTAACGGGTGAGACAGCACCTTTTGGCGACTCCAGTCTCACTGGATTGCTTAGTGGAGGTCAGTGCCATCTCGCCTCGGGGGTAAAGCCACCCCCAAAAGACTGGTGGGGGAAGGCACACCTTCCCCTTATATGGCTCCTTGAGCCAGCTATCCACATTCTGGCTGATTCCTGGAAGGATCTGGAAGGTGAGTCACATGAGTCCACATTCGTGTGGGCACAGACTGTACATGGTATACAGTCCTGGCCGTGGAGAGGCTGCGGGAAACGTGGGCCTATAGAAAACTCGAAGTGAGTGGGCTTTCCTGATTAGACCACACACATTCTGACGCCAAGAAAGAGAAGAAGCCACCCCACAGGTGTGGTGAGTGGCCAGAGGTAAGGGATGCCGGTGAAATGGTGGCCAAGGACCTCCGAGCTCAACCTGCAAATGGGGCAGGAAGCCTGGAGCAGGGATGTGGTGCTCAGGAAGGTGGCCAGGCGCACTTGAAGGAGTTGATTTGGCAGAAAGTGGGGAGGGGGGCCTGCTGCCCACACACAGCACATCCTGGCCGGCAGCGCTCTCCTCCTAGACCCCACCCTCCCCGGGGCTCAGGAGGGTCTGGCGAGGGTCCCGATTAGTATGAATTACCTTTGGGCAGGGCAGCCAAACGGTTAGTTGGAGTGGTCTGATCAGCTGCAAAGGGAAGACGGGTTATCCAGGTTAGCAGGTTATCTAGGGTTAGCAGTGTTGCAGGAGGGTGGGGACAGGCAGGAGAGGCTGGAAGAGCTGCCCCTGCGTCGGGTTTCTGGCACAGCTTCCCCCTCCCTTCCAAGGACAGCCCCCGCCCCTCAGAGAGGCCTTCCCGTGCTTCCTCCGGCTCCCTCCTGTCCCAGTGCTGGGACCACGCCTGGGCCCTCCACCTCCTGCAACCGCACGCCTCCGCTGCCGAAGGACCTAGACGCGCCAGAGGACTGGCAGTGGGGTGCCCAGAGAGTGGACAGGGGTGATGAAGGACAATGGGGTTTGCTTCCCTGGGTGGGGGCGGCTCCCTTCCCCAGGTTTGGGATGGTCTAGTATTTACAGTTCAGCCTGGAGGAGGGGGGATCATCCTGCTAAGTGCATAGCACACTGTGAAATCCCATCAAGAAGCAGGAGGAGGAAAGTTAGGCCAACAGAGGTGCTGGAAGGACAAACACAAAATTCGGTCTTACTTCAATGATGGATTGTTTTAATGAACTCAGTGGTTTAGAGTACCTGTAAAGTTGGTAAAAATGACCACAAGAACCCCTGCCCCTCTTCCCTCTCTCATTCAGGGGAGGATGTGGGGAGTTAAAAATTCCACTTAGGAGGTAAGTTGTCCCGTGCAGCTTGTTTTGAAGGAAGCAGCTTCCTTAATAACCCTTAGATCAAAGGCAGATCAGCACCCCTGGCTGGCCCGGAACTGTCCTGGGCCCACGGCTTCTCTGGCTGCAGGAAGGGACGAGAGGTCAGTACTATGGACAGCGGCAGTTACCTAGCACAGTGAGGTAGGCCTTGGCCAGGTCCTGGTCCAGCTCGGTGCTGGCGACACATGTGTAACTGCCCTGGTCCCGCTCGGCCACACCAAAGATGGTCAGGGAGTCATCTTCCTTCTTCATCCTGCAAAGGTACCGGAGGGGTTGGGAGAAGGGCGGGTGGGGAGACAACGGGAGAGGCAGTGGGGTGGGGGGAGTTGCCTGCTGCTTTCTCCCTCCCTGATGAGGGTGGTGAGTCAGATGGGGGAGGGAAGCCTCGCAGGCTGGGAGGCGCGGCCACAGCCCCTCCATCTTGATGCTTTGGGAGAGACAGGGTCTTTATCAGCACTGATGGTGCTTTCAATGGAGGAAAAAGAAACGTAGGTGAGGCCAACGTGGCCCTGAGCCGTGTTCACTCTCCAATTACACACTTCTCTCTGCGCTGTGCTCGCCTCCCAAATTAGAGCGCAGTTAGATCCACCCCCCAAAGGGCAGAGGGAGACCCCTCCCCTTCCCATACTCCAGCTCTATCTTCAGCCCAGACCAGTCTCTACACCAAGGCTCAGGCCAGGTACCCAGGCCCCTCTGCGTTATCTCCCACAGGGCACCGAAGAGCACCTGCCCCGAGGGCAAAACAACCCTGGAAAAAAACAGATGTTTGCTTGAAACAGCTCGAACCTATGGCCAGCTTCAGGACCCCTGAGGTGAAAGAGGGTACAGCAGAGAACCCTGTGGAGGGAGGCTTGGGCCCTGGTTGCACACTTAGACACACCTGTGGGGATGTGTAAACACTATCAGCGCCTGGGCCCTATCCCTACACAGACTGAATTCAATTCTGAGAAGAGAAAGAGGGCAGACTTGGATCTAGTAAAAGTGTCCCAAGTCCAACAAGGGCTGAGAACCACACTAAGGAGAGTGGTCATTGCCGTTTCAGGCCAAGCCTGCCCTCTGCTGGAGAGTAGGGGCGCTGCAGGCAGGGCGGAAGGTGGGGCAGGGTTCTTGGCTCTGATGGGGAAGAGAAGGATGGGAGGGGCTCAAAATAGAGGGAGGAGGAGAAGAGAAGGAGTGAGGGGAGAGAAGTGAAGAGAGAGAGGAGCTGGGAAGAGAGAAGGAAGAGAAGCAGAAGACTGATGGGAAAGAGGGAGAGGAGTGCAGGGTGGGGGTCTCTCCTGAGCTGGAGAGTGTCACTGAGGCCATCCTGCCCTCCTCAGCAGATCCTGGGTGACACACATGATGCAGATCCCTGTCCCTGGGCTCTTCAATGTGTTGAGCAATGGAAAAGAAAAGTAACCCAAATTAGCACCAGGAAGAGACGAGGCAGGAGAGGAGACCTGTTCCCGATGTAGAGTGGCTCGTCGTCCTTCAGCCAGGAGACCGTGAGTTTCAGGGAGGCGTCATGCTTGACCCGGCACTCCAGCTGCACTGTGGTGCCCCTTTTGACAACTTGGTCCTCGGGCATCCGGTAGATCCTGGTGGGGTCTGTGGAGAAACCCCAGTGTTCGTCACTGACACGTTCTTGGCCCACCATCCAACACGGACACAGCATGACATGCATGACCCTCATGGTCAGACGGATCAAGAAAGGTGGCAGGAATAACATCCCCTTATATGAATTGGGGGAGGCCTGGTGAGGATGATCCCAAAGAGTAAACAACCCCCAAATCCTTTCCATCCAGCTCAGGAAGATATGATGCAACTTCTTGGGGAGAGGGGGCGGTGGGAGCTGGTGTGGGTAGCAGGTTTCTCTTCCTAATGCCACCTGGACCAGGCTGCCAATAAGTCAGTGTTCCCAGTGCCTAGGCCAGCTGGAAGCCCTGGGAGGACACACAGAGGGAAGATCCTACTAGGGATTAAACATTAGGTGTGTACATTTCAAAGTGAAAAACACAGGCGGATAACTCGGACAAGACAGCTTCCTTTCCAAGCTCCACCTTGCCCTCCGCCTACCAACCCTCTCCTTTACCTTTGACCTCCAGGCGGACCTGATTTTCAGCTTTGCCCAGGATGTTGGTAGCAACACAGGTGTAGATGCCTTGGTCCTCTTTGCGGATCATCTTGATCTCCAGGCTGCCGTTCTCGTAGACGTGGTAGTTGCCACCATCCAGGTTGCTTCCTTGCCCATTCTTAAACCTCACAACACAGCAGCAGAACACACAGCATACTGAGAAAGGACTGGCCCAAGGGAGTGGGGGTCAACCACTCGAGAGGCAATTTGGGCAGCGGAAGGAGCCTCACGCTAGGACCCCGAAGCCCCCATCCTTGTAGGGCCTGCCTCCAACCACTGAGTAGCCCTGACAAGTTTCTGCCCCTCCCTGGGCTTCGGTTTCCTTCTCTGCATAATAAGGGGGTTGACCCAGCTGATCTGCCAACTTTCTCAAAGCTTTGACCCTTTGAGGTTCCCGGATGTTGCTGAATACGTATTATGGGCCAGATAGGAATGAAAAAGGTGACACAGATGACCCTTGTTGGGGAAGCCTGGTCTCCTGGAACTTACCATCGGAGTGTGGGGATGGGGGACCCAAAGAAGGGACAGTCCAGCCGTGTCCGGTTGTATAGGGTCACCCGAATGAGCTGGTTCCGTGGTGACAGCATCCGAGGCGGCACGTCTGCAATTCCCAGACAACCGATCTTGGGTGGGGGGGGTCTAACTCTTCCACTTCTTTCCCCTTGGTCTTATCTGCATGTGCCTTCTCTGTATAGCAGCTTTCTGAGTGCCAACACACCTTCCCCTATCCACATGCCTCCTTTAAAAACCTCTAAGGGATAGGTGAGAAAGGAGGAAGGTTTTCCATTCTCAACCTATGCTATATCCAGTCCAGCTTCTGCAAAGGGTCTCCTCAAATTATCCAGCAGATTCTGTACCTGCCCCTCCCGCTCCAGGAGCACTGCAAACATCCTCAGAACCATTTCCTACTCTGCGACCCACTGAGAAGCCAGGAGAGTCAGTGTGGACATATCAAGGAGATGAGACAGGCCCACTCTGTCTCATCAGGGGAAGGAGGGACCAAGGCGGACTTTTAGCGGGAATTCACTCTGTCTGCACACCCTGCTCTGTGGGTTTTAAGTCACCCTGCTTTCCACAAATCTCATCTTCAGTCTCCATGCCTCTGCTGCCAGCCTGGCTTATGTCTGGAGAAGAAAGTGCGCCCAGGACATGACAGCCCCGGAGGAGCAGCACTGCAGGGGAGTGGAGGGGACACTCACCCAGCACACTGACGAAGGCGTTGGCCAGCAGGTAGCCATGCTCATTGGAGGTATTGCACTGGTACACAGCCCTGCTGCTGATCTGGGTGTCCCGGAAGATGATGGTGTCCCCGGCCACCTCACGGTTTGGGTTGGGTGGTGCCGCTGCAGAGAGGAAGGATGCTCCTTGTGAGAAACGAGGGAGTGCAGGTAAAGGGAACCGGGCTCTCCCCTGCAGGACTCGGTGCCTGGAAGGAGCAGCGCTGCACGGCCCTCAGAAGACTGGGCTTCCGGCTCCACCACTGCGTGGCTGTGAGACCTTGGGCCCATCACCAAACCTACTGGAGTTTATTTCTTAATCTGTCCAATGGAGATATGAATTTCTGCTCAACCTACAGAGCAGCTCGGTAGGTGTGGCTTGGGTGCATAAGCTGCGGCAACAGAAAGGGATTTGAATTGTAACCACATTCCTGCCAACATCAGTTTCCTTGAATGGCTTGAGCTTTTATGCATGTCTAAAGTTATTGGCAAAGGGCCCGGCCAATGCTGGTTATTACTGTTGTTATTTTAATCCAATGTGCATATACTTTAGTCTGTTTTGAAAAGGACAAAGCCATATGGAATTGGGTGGGCCCTGCCGCTTTCCCATCCTCAGGGCAGGGCCCTCTCAAGACATTCGCAAAGTTCAAGCTGAAGGCTGGTGCCTGCTAAAAGCTGCACGAGTCCCTCTCCTTGCCGACGCGGCCCGATGGTCCCAGCAAAGGTGTCCCACGCTCAGAGAGAACATTCCTCCCTCAGACCTGCCAGTGCACTAGGCTGGGACCTGGGGCAGATCGGCCTGTCTTTCTGGGAATGGGGAAGAATTACTCCCATCATTCCCTTATCTAAGGAGAGTTAAGAGAAAAGAAAGATAATGAGCTGTACAAATAAAGGTTTTCTAGAAACAGGAAACTTCCACTTTTCTCATCTTTCATCACTAAAAGGTGACTTTCCTCCGTAAGATTTCTGGACTGGGCCAGACGACTTGTCTTACGCGGTCCATCCAGGATCACAGACGTACAGCGACAGTCGGCTGAGGAGGACCCCGGTCTGGCCCCGCGGGCGCCACTCTACAGATAGCGCGTCTGGGCCCGGAACCGGGGAATCAGCAGACGGTAAATGAAGACAAGGTCAGCATCCTTATCACCCTTCCCCACTCAGCAAAAAGGCACGAGGCAGGCAGGCAATGCCAGCAGCTTTAACACCTCCTGGCCCAGCGATTCTCATGGATCCACCATTCCTCCCAGTCACTCCCCAAAAGCGATGGGTGGCCTTTCCAGGCCCAGGCTCAGCTACAAGTCCTGGGCGAGGTTTAGGGCCTTTGTTTTCTTGTCCCCAAAGGCTGTCAGGACAGGGAGAACCCATGGCAGAGGACAGGCCATGTCCCTATCTCTGCTGTATCCAGGGGAAAGACAGTTGCTAGAGATAAAGGTGCCCTGTACTAGTTGGTGCAGGCATGTTGCACTCTCTCAGCAACTGGCAGCTCCCCCTCTTACTAGCCACGTGACCTCAGGCAATGACGGCACCATCAGAGCCTCGTTTTCTCATCTGTAATGTTTGAGGTGGAAGAGAGAACAGGGATGCAGCACGTAGTGCATTGGCAGGAACAAAACAAGTATCTAAAAAGGTGCTCTCTCACCCTCTCCTGCACCTGTCTCCCCTGCCTCTCTACCTTGAGTTAGGCTCTGAATTCTCTCCATTCATTTTTTGTCCCATCTGGTGGATATCACCTTTCGCATTTCCTCTGATGCCTTAGAGAAAGTAATGAGAGGAAACTTTAGAAAGTAAATGCACCTGGAGAGAATATGATGTGAAAACTTGACCAAGACCTCTGGCTGGAAGGGGCCTTGGACCCACCTGCTCCAGCCATCCAGGCAGGGCTACATCTCCCCAAAGTCTGTGCACACTGAAGAACTGTGCTGGTGCAACTCTGTTCTCATGAGGAAGTTCTCTCTCATATCCAACCAGGTCGTTCATGCTGTCGCGGAGCCCTGCCTCTTATTTTGCCCTCAGCAGAGAGCGGGACCTGGGCAACCGAATGCAATGGGTCATTGAGCTCTATTCCATCTTCCAGGCTCCAGGCATCACCCAGAGCCCAAATTCTCAGAACATGTGGTCACAGACCTCAGACCTGTTATGCTCTGTAGCTATTAAGTGCACAGAGATTTACGAAGAACTCAAGGGAGCAGAAGAAAATAACCATAGCCTCCTGTTCTCTCACACAGACACAAGGAAGGTTTCCTGCCTCTTGAGGTGTCTGAGAGACGGCTGTTCCCTCACTTCAGGAACAACCAGGGCTGCCCGCAGGGATGGGGACTGGGAGACACTGATGGCAGAGAGAGCAGAATCAGGGGAGATGATGGCTTGTTACTCACATTGCAAAGGTTCCCCATTCACCATCCACTGGACAGTGGGCTTGGGGTTCCCATTGGCTCGACACACCAGCCTCCCATCCTCGCCGGGAGCCAGGATAAGGTTCTTGGGTTCGTCCAGCCAGTAGGGAGCAGCTGGAAGACAAGGGCAGCACAGGCAGGGGAGTTAGATGGCACAGGCAGGCACAAGAAACCAGATGGACTTTCTGCAGGACGACAGGAGCCTCAGAATGCCAGCCCCCACCCCTCACCACCTGCCCAGGGTTCATCCTCACGGGATGACTCAGTCTAGCTTGCCGTTGGCCAGCTTGACACCAGAGATGCTGATCTGCCTATTTCAAGTTCACAGAATAAGAGTTCTAAACCAGGGCTGCTCACGGGAGTTCCCTGAATAGCTTTTAACAAACATGGACGCCAGGGCCATCTCAGACCTACTGAAATGGAACTCTCAGAGGAGGCTCCGGTGGCAAATGCTTTAAGAGGTCATGATGTGCACCCAAGGCCCCAGCGGGGGAAGGTGGTAAGGCGGGCACTGGGATGACCCCTCTGGGTTTCTGCTGTTGCTGCTGCAAGATCAGACCTGTTAGGAAAGGCCTGATACTTATTCTCTTAGTCATTGAGTTTTGGTTAGAGCAGAAGCTCATATGTTTGGAAAATCTCACAAATATGTGGACATGTGAATTTTTCTGAGAAGAGGGTTCTTTGAATCAAAGCTCTTGATACCTGCTAAAAGATTAAGAACCTTTGGTTTGAGTGTAGTGCTGAAAGCAAGGTCACCAGTTCAACTGAGGGTGTGCTAAGGAAGCCCTTACACTATGGGCTCAGACTGCATTATCCCAATCAGCCATTCAGACTGAGAAGTGACAGGAGTACCCACCACCCGTGGCTGGAATTCACAAGGACACGTGTTCTACTGCTTACTATAGCTCAGGTGGGCTAGCTATTTTTGGGAAGGTGGTGATTTTTTATTTTTTAATTCAATTTAAATGTTTATTTATTGATTTTTCAGAGAGACAGGAAGAGTGGGAGGGGGGGAAAAAGAGAAAGGGAGGAAGAGAGGGAGGAAGAGAGGGTGAGAGAAACACTGATTTGTTGTTCCACCCATTGATGCATCCATTGGTTGGTTCCTGTATGTGCCCTGACCAGGGATTGAATCTGCAACCTTGGCATATTGGGATGATGCTCTAACCAACTGAGGTACCTGGCCAGCGGAAGGAAGTAATTTAAAAAAAAAAATTTGGGTCATGATGACTTCCCATTTTTAAAAAGAACCAAGCACAGTACACAGCACAGGGAGAAGACGATACACCGTGAACAGGAATGCAGAATGGATAAAGAGAAGGCCCCGGGTGTGCTTCAAACAGACTGTGAATTCACCTGCTGAGGGAGCCCAAGAGAGCTGGGCAATAGTCAGGGTGGATCTTCTTCCCTTAACACCCACCATACGCACATACACAGACCCAGGGGGTGACACCATCGCTGAGGGGGCACTATTGCCACTAACCAGTGTGTTGAAAGTACCCCTCACTCACCCCGCCCCCAACCATCCTCAGATGGAAGGGTGGTCATGGCGTTTAGGGCTGGCAAAATCATCATAATGAGAAATACACACAACGTACCCTTTACTCTCACCGAGATCGTGTGCCGGATGCTGCCCATCTTGTTGGAGGCCAGGCAGAAATATTCCCCAGAATCTTCCTCAGAGACGTTGGTGATACGCAGAGCCTTGTTAAAGTTCTCAAACTTGGCCTTGTCAGATGGGAGGTCGCCACCTTTCTTGTACCATGCGATGTCCGGCGTTGGGCTAGGAGAGAGGCCAAGCAGGAAACGGGTTTATTACAAACGGTGGCCCTGCTATTCTTCTATGGAGCCCAGGACACCTATGTGTCCTTAACGTGTACTTGGGCCAGAGGATACAGGTCCTCAGACAGCTGATTTCTCCTATACAGAAGAAGGGCTGCTCAGTGCAGAGCATTTGAGTGACTTATCTCACACACAGCCAGGATGCCCACCCATCTCCTTTCCTCATTATCCAAAAGAGGGTATCCATGCCGGGATGGGATGGAGGTGACTGTGATTTACAAAGTCCTCACATAGGGCTTTGTAAGAGGAGCCTGCTTCTCTTTTTGTACCACCAAATGTAGCAAAACAGAACATGCACAAACTCCCTCCCCAGGCTCCTGAAGGCCGGCCGGAAGTAGGGTGAGGCGGTACATACACCCCGGAGGCGATGCACTCCAGCAGGAGGTCCATGCCGCGGAGCACCATCTGACTGCTCGAAGTGCCCTGGGGGTACATGAAGCTGGGGGTTCTCTCTGCAACTCCTCGGGCTGCAACAGGACAGAACAAGCTGGCATGAGTCTCCTGCCTTGGGGGGCTGACCCAGCTAGGCCAAAGCCGTCAGGCTAGAAAGAAATGTCATCACGCCTCTGCTTCCCCCCTTACCTCAGAGGCAAGAAGGCCTGGACCCTCCCAGCTGGAACCACCCCAAGGGCTGGGAATCATTAAGAGAGTGTGTTAGGAAGCTCGGGGCTTCTGGGCCCCACCGGTGTGTGAGCAGCTCTAAGTTCCGAAAGGACCTGCCAAGGGGAGCCCAGCTTCCCACAGTTCCCTGGAGTGGGGGATGGAGCTGCCTGGGCACCGAACACCTTGTGTTGGGTCCCCCGAGGCCAACTGGGTGGCCCCTGCGGAGGCCGTCTCAGCAGTGGTGAAAGAAAGAGAAAAGCATGGTGGCACATATTGGGTCCACAAGACAGAAAACCTGCCCTTGGGAACCCTGGAGAGAGGTTGAGATGAAGCCACAGAGACCCAGATGAACAGTCAGAGATGCAGGGAGCATTATTAATGGTTTAGCAAGGACATGGAGAAAATTAATGAGCAGAGATGACAGGAAATCACTTCTGGGGCCAAGACCACTCTGCTGCTTCACTAATGACTTTGGGAAGAGGCTGGGGAGGAGGGTGTTAATTGGATGTGAGATGCTGGGGGAGGGGTGAGAGGCAAGTAGCAGCCAAGATGCAGGAGGCAATCTACAATTCAACTAGGCTGGAGCAGCCACAGGCTCTGAAGTTAATGACATGCACACAGGTTTTGAAGCAGGTGGCCCACAGAGACTGACACTACCCAAGTGGCTGTTTCCCAGGGGAAGGGGTCCTGCAAGTCTGGGCACCCACGGCGGAGTGGAGCCCACCCGCCTGAGCCTCAAGTTTCCCTCCAAGCTCCTTGTGCAGTTCTGCGGAAATGGATATAATGGATGGAAGAGGAATGAGGAGTTTCCAACCAGCAGCCCAAAACACAGGGAGACTGGAAGAGGCACCCCTGCCCAAAGACATATGATTGTAAGTGAGAGGAGTCAAAAATAAACGTAAGCTGAGCCTACTCATGGGCTTCATGGAGAGGTGAGCGGTGGGAGGAAGGCAGAGCTGCCTGGGGCTGGGAGCCCTCGGAATGCCTGCAGGGAGGACAAAGGCATTTTTCTGGGCAGAGGCTGTTAATAAATGCTGGCAGAGAGAGGATGGAGTCGCAAGGGCACCTCTGTCTCTGTGACATTGGTGTCTCCTACAGGAGCTTCCTGGACTAGCTGGTGCCTGGCTGGATCAGTGGGGTCCTGTCCTAGGGGCATTTACTCCCCTTCTTTCCATCAGCCATAGGGGGTAGGGAGGTTTGCATTTCATAGAGCTTGCATCTGCCTTATCTTTTTGTCAGGGGAAGAAATGATGAAACACATGCAAAGGTAGTCAGGCTGCTGGCACAATACATGGCACATGGCAAGTGTTTAAAAACATTTGCGGGATGAATGAATTCAAGGGAAGAAGAGAGCAAAAAGAAGGTAACAGTTTCCACCCCCCGCCCCCCATGTTATTTCTCCTTCTGTAGATGTCCTCATCTGTCCCACCAGCACACACATATACAACAGTGGCTACTAAAGGGGTTAATCCATTATGTGGTTAATTGGTTACCACCCCTATATCTATAACTCTTGTAGTATCTGGCTCTCAGTACCAAGGAAGCCTGACACCAAAGCTGCAGCTTCCTCCCACCCATTGTCATGGAACACCAAAACAGTCAGACAACACAAGGTCACGGGCATCATGAGGAGACGGAAATTCTGAGCAGGAGGCTCTGGTGTCAGGCTGGTGAATCTGTTGAGAGCCAGGAGCCCTAGGATTACGTAGAAGAGTTCCCAGCTCAGTTGGCATACTCCTCCCCACAGGGACGCAATCTGCAGGAACCAATCTGCGACCTGGGGACATTAATTCACAACATAGCACGCAACACCGCAGGCACACAAGACCAGCAAAGCATTTGGTGTGGAAAGGAGAGGTGAGCGCCATCCCGCTGCGGGTGCCCTGACATGCTACAGCTGTGACTACAAACAGGTATAGCAACACCTCATGTGTAGGATGTGTACTAGTACCATAGAACTATTCTAAAAGGGAAGAATCTCATGGGACACAAACCAAACCTCAAAAATAGAGGGGAGAACATCCTCGAAGTCAGAGGTAATCATCGGGGCCACCATTTGGTAGGCATTCCCTGTGGACCAAGCACTGTGCTAACAATTCCATCTCCAACATCACGTTCAATCCTCACAACAAACCTGGGGGTATTGCCGCCATTTATAGCAGAGAAAACTGAGCCTCAGTGAAGTCAACGGACTTGCCAAGGTCACAAGGAGTTACATTTTAGATTCTGGACCCTTTAGCACCAAAGCTTGTGTTGTGACACCTATTCTATATTGCTTCTCTCTTTAAAGATGGATACCTCACTTATCCCTACAGCTTTGGGAATATGTTTCATTCCCAGACAAACAAACAAAATCCAAGGGCAAAGGAGACAAAGTAGAGATATTTTTGTCTTAGTGAGTTATGGTGGTGAAACTCTTCCAATATCGTTCTGTTTCAGATAAGATTCTATCTCTCCTCAGTGACTATTAAATAAACTCAGGCCCAAGCTGGCAAAAAAGAATCTGGATTGGGAACTAAGAGCTCCAAAGGCATCTCAGCTGGATTCTTAAGGCCACGAAAAGATTGAAGAGGAGTCAGGGTGACATGCATGTGATATCATTAGGGACAGGAAGGCGGGACCCAAAGGGGAGGCTGCGGACAGATGTAGTCACTTGCAGCAGGGGGGAGTCACGGAAACATCTATGAAGGATAATCCAGCTGGTGCCTTTGGTATCCACTTCTCCCAAGGGGAGGGTGGCTGATTCCTTTCCCTGGAGATGTAGACCCAGGAAGAATCTCTGAGACAAAGATGATCACTGTGTGAGACTCCATGAAATTGTATGTGGTGGAAGATGCCAGTTTCCAAGGGTATCATGGGACACTCTCTCTTTGACCACGGAGGCAGGGGTCCCTGGGGAGCCTGTCCAGCCTGATTATGCTCCTCTTACTCTTCCTGATTGGCAGCTCTGGTGTCAACTCAACACCCGATCAAACTCAGAACCCAGATGCCAGGGCCAGCTGCAGTGACTAATGACCCCCAGTCTTGGCACTGACCAATCAGTGGAGACCATGACCCTGAAAGGGTGTGCATGGAAAGCTGATGAATATTCTATTGAGATCCTCCCCTGAGAACTCCCCTAAAATCCAGACCCTGGAAAGCAGATAAAACCCCATCAAGACAAAGAAGTCAGCTTACTCCCTCCTTGGAGCACAGCCGCTCTAATCTCCTTTTTGAGTGAATTATCTTTCTCCTAAACTCTAAGGGTCCCCAAAAGACTTGCAACCAGGAGAGCAATGGGCAGCCCTGACCCTGTCTCCAAGGCCCCCTTTTCCCTGACTTCCCAGGGAGCCGACAGCAGCGCCGCCTTGGCTCACTTCTTTCCTAGAATGTGTCTAGGGAGCCAAAGCAGCCCAGCTTAGGCTTTCTCCTTTGCTTCTTCTACCCAAAGTCCTTCCTTGCTTCACTGTCCCCAGGTTTAATAAATGTACTCTCAAAATCACCTGGACTTGTGTTGTGAAATCTTTCCCGCACAAAGACAAGGACCCATTCACTACAGGTCTTCCCAAGGCAGGCCCACTTCAGCTGGGTTCCCTTCCAGTGGCAATGTGAGTTTTGCTTGGTTTCACTGCCCTTGAAGGTTCTTACAACTCCCAGTCATTCACTTGTAATATCTACCACTGGTCATAAACTGTTTTAAGTGGCTGGAATCACTCAAACTTATTCCATTGATAAAACAATTCTACATGCATGTGCTCTGAATGGTTTACCTTATATAAAGCGAGAAGCTGGGACCAGATGGTCTCTGAGGGACCTTCTGGCTCCGATATACTCCAGCTTTAAGAATACTTCTATAATAGATTACCCGGAATCCAATTTAGAAGAAGGCCCATTCCACATCAGTGTGCCGGGGCTCTTGACACAATTGGCCCCATTATTTTGAAAACAAACAATGCCCAGAATCCAAAAAAGGTCCCCTGCTTCCTCAGGCAGTAAATCTCTTTGGCAGGATCTCAGTGTGGCTCTAGCTGCTTGGTGCCAAGTTAGAGCCTTTGCCTGTCTCCCTGGCTCTCACTCTCTCCCCATCCCCCACTCCAGACACCGAACATTGTTTATATTAGCACATCACAATACAGACACTTCCTATCTAGTTGAGCCCACAATGACCTCCCTGGGGATCTGGAGCCTCAGCTTTGGAGGCATAACTGATCATGGGGGCCAGCTGTCTTGCCAGAGCCAGAAAATGAGGATTCCTCTGGCTGCTGAGGGAAAACAAGACATTCTTGGGCCACGGCGGGAGTAACTCAGGTGTGGAAATAGCCAATTACTCTACTAATCAGCTTGAGCAACCAGTTGTGTGATGAGATAGAAATATGCCTCATGGAAACTGTTCCATGACTTGCCAATGTCTGCGCTGGTGGGCACTGGACCTGGGCCGGGGCCCAGCTGATGGTGCAACTTCATTTAGAATCTTTTAAAAAATTTTTATTGATTGATTTTAGAGAGAGAGAAGAACGGGGGTGGGGGGAGAGACAATTTCATTGATAACTCACCTTGGGAAAAAAACTCAAAGCAGACTCTCACTCCTATTTCCCAGATAGATTTTTAAAGAGACAAGGGACCCGCAACATGGTATCCCCAGCAGCTATGGCTAGACTGCAAAGCAGGCAATTCACATGGGGACACTTAAGGGTTAACAAAACACACACTACAAAGCTGTCTGTGCTCTTTAAACCACTAATAGGGCCAGAATTACAGTTTCCTCCTCACCAATCCTCAGACGTTCTCCATCCACCTACTGCCAATTCCTAAGTTTCTCCTGAACCCTCCAAGAAGCTCTTGTGACGTCCTACACTGGTTTGACCAGCTGGTCCAGAATTCAGCAACTGAAGTCCTGCCTGCAAATATGAGGAGACCACACCACCCTATAATCCATCTCAAACTCCCAAACTAGCCACTGTCTTCCTGGCAAGCAGTGTTCTGGAGGTGGCACCTTGGCACCCTGGCACCCTGGCCTGGCCAGCTGTCAGACCTGCCACTCGGCATGAGTTAATGACACGGTATCAGTCAAGTTAGGCAAACTGGGGTTAGGACAGGCAAGGTTACTCCCAAGGTTACCACAGTGACTCACCACTGTACATGTCAGGGTGGTTTCTTAAGGACGAGTCATTATAGGGGTGGTCTGCAATAAACAAAAGAGGGTGAGCAAACAGGAGGCGCGGAGAGGGCTCAGAGGCACAAACAGGGAGAGAACAAACAGAAATGCAAAGCCACGAAAACAACCGGGGCGAGCACCAGTGGTCTTTTGCAAAGGAAAGACACGGCGTGTTTGGAAAGGAAATGTGCTTGGTGAAGAACAAGCAACACAAAACAGCCCAAAAAAAGGGAGAAAAGGTTAAATCCTGCAAAAGAAGGCAATGATAAGTTTCTTTTTTAATTAAAAAAAAGTAGGCTTGACTCTTAATTGCTCGGTCCCACTATATTTTCAAACAAATGAGATGAGGGTTAGCAGTATGCTGTAGCGGTCTTTCGAATAACTGCTTCTCATCAAAGTCCACAGTTCCAGGTCTCTGGATCAGGCCAGCTCTTGGGGGAGCTAAAGAGAAAGGAGTGTTAGTGAGCTCTGGGGAAAGAGCAGAAGTCCCACCTGAGCAGAGGCTAAGCTGCAAGAGGTGGGAGGGGAAATGAGAGGAGAAGACAGTCCAAGAGAAACGGTTCATCAGAGCGGGAGGGGGGCCCTTGGGAGCACCCAACAAATGTGTGCTGACCAGCAACAAGCGTCCCTAACTTGTCCAGTGGGCACCACCCTGGTCTCCAAGGTGTGTCGCTGGCAGAAAGGTCTCCTTCTGAGGAGGCTAGGAGTGGTCCGGGGAGGTGGGGTGAGCTAGGATGAGGTTCAGATTTTAGGATCAGAAAGAGAGTTTGGGTGAGGGAGAGGGAAAGACGGGGGTGGGGGGCAGAGAAAGGCATGTGTGAGTGCACTGAGGTCTGTCCTGGGAAAGGCCTGCTGACTAAGCTGGAGATGCAGAGCTCTCTAGATGGCCTTGGGGTGAAGATATTCCTTAAGGAGCAAGACCATGGCCTCAGTTCCAACATTCGGTAATTAAAGCCCTTGGGCATTTAGCCCTCAGTGAGAAAGACATTTTGAAACAGGGCACATAATCGTGCCAAGATGCTCCGGTAGCTTTTCACTCTTCTACCACCGTCCCTCTCCAGCTACTGGGTTCAAGTTCTGACAGTACCTCCGAGGGTGGGCGTGGGGCAGCTGACTGGAAGCCCAGCAGACAGCCCTTGGAAGCCGGGCTGGGCCGACTGTCGAGGGAGCAGAGGTGCTGCGCCACCATATCTGAAGACAGCACCAATCCAGTTACAACTGATTGTGGAGACTCCGAGCTCTATTCTGGGACTGCATTGCATTGCATCCCAAATCCGCTAACACCCAGGAAGAAGATCTTCAGTATTTACAACTGTCCCTTAAGATAGGGTTTGTGGTAAAAGATCTAACCTGTGTTGGGGAAGTCAGCTTGGGTTTCTCTGGAACTAAGGACATGACCTGCAGAGAAGGAAGAGGCTGATGGCAAAGGGTGGGCACGGCTGTGGCCGGACTCAGGTAATGTTCCTCTCCTGGGGGAGGACAGGGGCGCACACAGCTGACAGGCCTTGTTTCATGCTTCCATCCAGAGAAGTGCTCCACGCTCGGCCTGCACCTCACAGCCTGTGAACTCTGGAGCACGTCTGAGACATTCACGGAGACCTTCTGGACTCCTCTGAGAGTGTCACTTAGACAACAGACATTAGCAGGAAGCAGGGTTACTGCTTCTTTGCCTCTTTATGGAGAACTCACCTCCTGTACTCTGCTGCCTCTCTGTGGCAGAGGCGCCAGGAGGGACAGGGGCTTGCTCTGGCACAGGCCAAGTGGGATGGGGCGTCTTTGTTAGCCTGACTCCACTGTTTGTCTTTGACTGCATCCCAAAAGAAATTTTATTTTATTTTATTTTTTTTACCCTCACCCGAGGACAGTTTTTTTTCATTGCTTTTAGAGAGAAAGAGGAAGGGAAAAAGGGAAACATCAATGCCAGAGAGATGCATTGATTAGTTGCCTCCTGTATGCACCCAAACTAGGGATCGTATGTATCTGGAACAGGGATCGAACCCATGACCTAGGTATATGCCCTCATCAGGATTTGAACCACAACCTTTTAGTTATGGGATGACGCTCCAACCAATTGAGCCACAACAACCAGGGCTCAAAACAAATTTTAAAAATGCTTTTAGATTGCGCAGTATTGTGTGTTAGATACCCCTGTCCTCATTGCAGGTAATAGAAAATCAACTGATATGAGGTTTATTTTTTTCCCCGTGGACAAACTGGGACAGAAACCCTGGTGAGAACCAAGTCATTGAGGCTGTCCCAGCTGGGCTGTTGTGCCTCCCACCCCCAGACCTGGTTCTGAAGGTGTGAGAAAAACGGGGGGCCTTTCCAGGCAGGGCAGTGGAGAGAGCACAGCTGCGCCCACACGTGGGCCGGCGCAGACGCCCAGGACTTGCTCCCGGCCCAAGCTGCCCCCGGGAGACCCCGGGAGGCTGGCAGGGTTCTGTTCACAGCACTCCAGGGTTCCTCAGCATTTGGAGGAGTTTTCAGTGGCACAAGGCACCCAGAAATGAGACAGAAACAGACATCCCTTGCCTTAGAGAAAAGGGTGTTTCTGGAAAGTCCAACTTCTAAACGTGGCTGAAACCTGTAACTGCTGAGTGCCAGAGGACGGCTCTTCACCTCCTCCATCTCCCTGCCTCTACCTGTGTGGCAGTGGAGGCTCTGCCCCACACCACAGACAGTCACCTGGCTCAGCCGTCAAACAGCAGGCTGACATCAAGCAACCCCCGGGCAGGGAGAAAGGGACCCAGGTGATGGCACTGCAGGCTGCCCAGGGATCAGCTCAGTGAGCATCTTGTTCTTGACACTCCTTCCCCCACACCGCCTACCACTGCCAGCCCTGTCCTGGCTCCGAAGGCCGCTTTGAGGTCCTCGGCAGACCACACTGGCCCCCGAGCTTGGCCAGCTGGCAGGCAGTCACCCTGACGTGCCCTGGGGGGACACCTCAGACAACCCAGCCTTCCTCTGTGGGGCTCCTCGCCGGGCCTAAGTCCGGAATAAGAAAGCCAGGGAGGGGGCAGCGAGCAGACCGAAGCTGGGCCACCCTGCCAGGAACACATGGGGCTTCTCCCTGGGTTCCTGGCCATCCGGATGGCCATCAAATTATGACAGCTTGGAACAGTGTGTGGGGACCCGCAGAGGCAGGAGGGGGAGGACTGGAGGCAGGTGAAATTGGGTCAAAGAGAGAGAAGGTGAGAGAGAGGGAAGGAAGAAAGTAAGACAGAGGGAAGAGAAACAGAGAGGAAGGAAGTGAAAAAGAAAAGGGAAGAAAATGAAGAGAAAGGAAAAAAGAAAAAACCCACGACAGGAAAAGGGGAAGTTGCTTCTTATGGATCCACCGCGGTGCCATGGTGGAGACAGAGCGGGGCTGGGCTGACCCTCAGCACTGACCTCGGCACTGCCCGTCCTGCCTCCTTCGCGGGCAGAGACTGGTGAGGACAGGAGAGCGTGAGGGGGCCGGCCCCCACGCGCCCTGAGTGAGGAGCGAGTTCACCCTAGCCTCTCCCCACCCCCCATGGCCCCGCGGGAGGCACTACCCACCCCCTGCACGTGTGGGCTCCAGGAAGCCAGGGTCAGCTTCTTTCCTCGGGCCTGCGAAAGCTGCCAGGGCCCATGTGGCGACCTCTGACTGGCCTCCCTCTCAATCGCCACTGTCCACAGTACTGGAATCATCACTCACAGCTGAGTTAGACAGATTAAGGTCTTTGGGGAGGGGCTCTTCCATGGGAGGCATGCTATAGATCCATGGAGGACACCACCATAGCCACTTCGAGCATCCTGAGCAGGCCGAGGACTTTGCAGCCCAAGCTCCAGGCCAGCAGGTCTCTGGCAAGAAGTGTGTCCCTGAACTGAGGAGCTTCTGTCTCTCCTCTGGGGAGGGCCGCCAATGCTACAATGGATCAGGAAATATTAGCCTGTTTTGGTACCAGTCAAATAGGATCAGGGAGCAAACATGAAAACCAATAAAACTAAACATAAACCTGCAACCTGCGAACGCAGTGATTCCATACGGTCCGACATATACATATCACAGAATAAATACAATTCAGGCAGGTATCGCTACTAGGCTGGATATCCTGTGCTGTGGCTTTATTCTAGGAATAAAGATAACAAACAATGACTAGAAACTAAAGAAATAATCAAGCTAAGTATGTGAGAGGATGCCGATGACCACCTAAAGCAATGCTTCTCAAATTCTGGTGTGTGTCCACATCCCCTGGGAGCTGATGAAGCACAAAGAGGCGGAATAGGGCTGGGCCTGGACTGGTGCCAAGTGTTCCGGGTGGGCCTGATTCCCACAAAGTCTGAGAAGCACTGACTTAGAGCAGGACCAAACTAACCTCAAGGCTTTGGAAGCAGGAGATGTTTAGGAGAAGCTGAAGTAGCCCAGGCACAGTGAGCTGGCAGGACTTCTAGGTCAGCTTTGGGGACGAGTCTCCCCCCAGCCCCAGGTACCCGGGGCTGCTCAGGCTAAGTGGGCTGCTGCCCCTGGCCCCCAGCCCCAGGCAGGGCCTGTACTTACTGGTGAGGACCTTGAGGGTGAACGGGTTCTTCTGCTGGATGGTGTGGGTAAAGTGGAAGCGGGCGTTGCAGCTGTAGTCGGTCTGCATGTCCTGCACCATCACGTTAGAGAAATACAGGTCCCCGTTATGGCCCTGGGAGACCCGCTTATCTTGGGTGATGGGCTCCATGGCTATAAGGAAGCAGAGGTACAGTAGGAGGTTAGCACAATGGTACAGTAACAAATATCACAATGTCTCTAGCCAGGGAGCACCTGCAGAGGGCCAGGCGGGGCCAGGAGCTCCACGTTATTCAGTCTAACCTCACTCTCAACTCTGAGGTGGGGCTTATTCCCACTTTACAGATAAGAAAGCAGAGGACGGAACTGCTCTGGTTGCAGGAGCAGTGAGGAAGGGTAGGATTTAGATTCACACCTGCTTGCCCACCACACCCGCGCTCTGTGACCATACTTTTCTTCCTCCCTTTCGTGTCACAAAAGATCAGACTGACCCAGAGACCGGAGGGAGGGGACAGGATCCTTCAGATGCTCCCAAATCAGGAGCCAAATTCATTTGCTTTATTTTTTTTACCTGCCACTCCAGCCCTCAAGAAAGAAAAAATGTAATTGTAAGGTGCATACCAACCAATGATGCACACCATTGATTTTCGGATGCCTTTCATTTTTAGAGATAGGACAGTATGAAAATATGTGCTTCTTTGAATTAATGACATCATAGGAGCGGTTGAGAATACTGACTACTTTATCTACATTTTTTTCAAGCACTGCATCGGATGTGAATGTATACGGCCAGGTTTCTAGGCTATTTGGCTTGTCAAAGTATACTTCTAAGGCTGACCACTCACAGCACTCTTTCCTATCCACCATGAGTGTTAAGTCACCATCTCTTAAAGCACAAGGTTAATAATGCCAACTTTCTAACAATGGGCTGGGAAGCTTTGCAAATCATTTAGCAAAGACTTCCTGTACACCTACTATGTGCAGGCACTGTGCTAGGTACTGGACAAAGAGAGATGAGTGAGAAAGACAGCTCCTGCTATCAAAGAACTGCAGTCTAGTAGAAGAGACAGTGAGTAAATAAAAAACTGCAAGTGCGAGAGGTGGGAAGCCCAGATAAGAAAGGGATGAGCTGAGAAAAGGAGCCTCCAGTCCATTCTTGGGTCCTGAGCTATGGCTTGAAGGCTATGTAACATTCACAAGGCAGAAGAGAAAGGAGCTAAGAGGGTTCTCTGCAGCAGGAACAGGGTGTGTTAAAGGTGAGAGCACCTGAGAAGGAGGGTGGCGGGTGCGCATGGGCAGGAGTGAGGGAGAAGGGCTGGAGAGGCAGAAGGGACCAGATCAGAATGCGAGCTGTGTGCCAGGGAAAGGAGTCCAGGCTTTGAGGCGATGGAGGATCCAATGACAGGTTTTGAGCATATGAACAAACTGTCACATTTGTGTTCTTAGAAAGACCAGGAAGGCCACTTATGGATAATTATTGCAACCCAGGGAAATGTTAATGGTGACCTGTGCTGGGGAGATGTCAGTGAGGATGGGAAGAGAAAGAAGGTCATGAGACCTGCTCAGGAGGTATGAGTGTGAGGCAGTGTGACGAGTGCGATGTAGGGGATGAGAGAGGAGGGTCTGAACTGTTAGTTAACAGATCAACCCCCAGCCTGCGGCCAGGCAGCCTTCCCTGCAGATGTGCACTGTGGTGAGGAGAGAGAGGGACAATGATTGGGCACAAAGCCACTCTCACGCTGCAAAACAACTCACATGCTGCCTCACTGACAAGGTAGCCTCTTTTGGAAGCAGGCTGGTAAGAATTCAGAATAGAAGGAATGAGGGATGATAAGCAGGCAGGCAGGAAGGTCTATAGATTGAAAGGGAGATGCATATATAGGGAAGGAAGAAAGGAAGGGAAGGGAGAAATGAAGGGAGGAGGGGAAGCCAAGGAGAGAGGTAGGTAGTCACTTTCATAATGCCCGCCCTTTTTAATCTGATTGAAAACAGAAAGAAACAGGGAAACCGAGGTCCAGAGCGCGTAAATAAGCCTCCCCCCAAAACTGAGCTAGGACAAGCTCTGAAGGGTGGTACTCTGTGCCTCTGCTCCAAGCATCCTATCCTGCTGTCTCTCCTTTACCAGAAACTTCATTCCCACGTACCCGACTCTGTCCTGACAAGAACAGTGACTCCAGACCAAACCAAGAATTAAAAGAAGCTTGGTATCAGCCTGCCTCCAATTGGCCTATTGAAAAACACAGTTTCTACTCTTCCTTCTTCCTTTTTCTCTTTCTCTTCATCATCACAAATATCACTGAGCACTTACTGTGCGTCTGGCACTGTTATAAGTACCTTGGATGTATTAATTTATTTACCCTTACAATAATTCTATTAGATAAGTATCAGCCCCGTTTTTCAAGAAGAGGAAACTGAGGCCCAGAGATATCAAGCAACTTGCTCAAGATCATGCAGCTGATAGCAGCTGGGTTTAGGAAATGAACTCAAGCAGCCCTCTCTCTACAGAGCCTGTTCTTAGCCACATGGCCACCTTACATCTGCTTCTCACAAGTCAAGGTCTTCTAGCCTTGGGCAAACCCTTCCCCATTTAACATGCCCACCCTACTTGCTAGGATTAAAATAGACATAAAACACTAGGTCCCCAAGACTTACAGCTGCTCATCCAGAAGATGACTGGGGATGGAAGTCCGGGTGGTGGGTTGCACTGGAGTGTCAAGGGGGCGCCTTCTTGAACCACCACTGGGTCTAGGTTTTCCTTGGGCCACAGGGGAGACTCTGGGAAGAAACACAGAGGAAGATGAAATGAGGGCAAAGGCTGGGGCCGTGGCAAGGAGCAAGGTTAGAAACAGGCACCGAGGAGGGGGAGGGGAAACAGGAGAACAAGCAGACAGGAGAGAGAGTCAGGGCCCATCAGTCAAAGCAGGTAGAGGACAGAGGCCTTTTGTTTGAATGGACGTATGTCTTCAAAGACTCTTTTCCTTCCCCTCCTCCCGTGCCCAGAGTGGCTGGTGAAGCTGCTTAAGACTCTGGTTTGGAAACATCTTTTTCAAGGAATCTTTTTGAGTAGGGGGAGGTGCGTCGTACTCAAAGGCAGAATAGCAAGCAGGACATGCAGGGCCCCAAAGCACCAACAGGCCAAGGGTAGGGTGGCCTTTCTAGAATGATCCTCCATACCCTCCCTTCCATGTATCCAGGAGCAGGGCATCTCGACCCTGCCCCATGCTACTCACTGGACACCTGAAGGCGGATCCTATTGGACAGGGCTGTGCCGAATTTGTTGCGGGCAAAGCACTGGTATTCCCCCTCATACTCCTCCGGCCGCCCGCCACTGCGGAAGTCAATCACCAGGGTCCCAGACCGCCTCCTCATTGACACCCGGGGGTCCTTGGCGACATTGAAGAACCTGCTGTTGCGAGTCCAGTGGAAGCTGTGGACAATGCGGCGGAGGGCAAGAAATAGTAACATGGTGGATTCTGGGCTTCAGGCAACAATCTTGGGGCCCTACTCCCTGACGCAGTCACAAAACCACATCTTCACACCAATGGGCCCCAGCCTGGACTGAGTGGCAGAACCTCCTGGAATCCTGAATGTAATGTCCCCATTCCCTCAAGGTGAATCTCGGGGGCAGGTCCCTGACAGCACTTTTACCCAACCAAGACTGGGAGTCGTGGTTTCATGTGGTAGATACCCATGTAGCGCCTGGGAATTGTGTTCTTTGGAGGAGTAGATGGTGATTTTGATTTTTTTCAAATCCAGAGTCAGCTGCTGCTTCCACCCAGGGCATTCCCAACCTCCAACTAGGAACACAAACCCAAGTTCATATTTCACCCAGCCCACATGCATCAAGGAGCTGGCTCTGCTCCTCCTGCCCCCTTATTTGATAATCTACTCTAAAGCCAAAGTGAAATGGTACAGATTATCTGTGTCCCTGCTCAGTGGGTGGACATTGTAAGGCAGTGGCCACACATTATATAACCCAGAAGGGGCAACTTTGAAAGAAAAAGCAGCCTTCCTAAACCTGAGGCCCCGGGCAAAGGGACTAGAGTGTTCCTCTGCTTCTCTTGTGGGGATGTGCATCTGTAGCTGCTCAGGATATAACCTTAAAAGAAGCAGGAGCAGTAGTGTCTGCTCAGCTTTGCAGATTCACTGTTCCCACAAAGGAACCATGGGGGAAAGCCCAAACCTGAGAAGCTAGGTCACCCAAGCCCTGCCTGATCCTTTAGGATGACTCCTGCTTCTCCCACTGTGGGCAAGAAAGGCTCTGCTTGTTCCAGGCTCACGGCTCTGAGCTACAAGGTGTCATGCAAACCTTGCGGGGTGGTGGCAGGGGCAGAAGAAGGCTGCCACACCCCTAAGGCGCCACCTTGCCTCCTTTCTCTTGCTGACATGTCCCCCTACATGGGGTCCTGTCACGACTAGGTCTGAATTGGGCATGAGGCTCCGGAAAGGTCCAGTCTGTAGCAGGTGCTTTAAAGATGGGGGAAGAAGGATAGCATACCATCGCCAATGCTTAGTGATCAGTAGAAACAAACCTGGCCTGGGGTGTCCCAGGCCTGGGTTCAAATCCAGCCTCTGCCACTTGCAAGCTGAGTGACCTTGGAAATGACACTAAATGTCTCTGTGCCTCCATTTCACTCCACATCACTAAGACATAGGTCCTTCCCTGAAGGGCAGTGAGGCGGTTGAACAAGACAGTACGAGGAACAACTAGCACAGAGCTTAGTGCACGGCAGGCTTTCAGCTCGTGTCTGCGGACACCCATGTGAGGCTGCAAGACTCAGGCTAGCTGCGGGGAGGGAGTTCCTATAAGCTAAGCATGGAGGATTGACGGGAACAAAATGCAGTGTTACACTAAAAGTTAGAAAACAGCATGTGGTCCTGGCTTTTTGGTGTGACCTTAAGCCTCTTAAGTTTTCTGGTCCCCAGTTTCCTCATTAGCTAAATTTCCTAATTTTCCAAATTATACTTTCTACCTAGCAGGGACTGAATGGAGACATTTAATTTCTCAAGGCCTCAACTACCAGCAGGCCTGTGGCAAGGGAGTAGTTTACATACCCTCCTTGCGGCCCCTTTCCCTCCACCCAGCTTGAATTTTCCTGCCAGTACACTCACCTGGGGGCAGGGTTCCCCTTTGCTTCGCACTCGATCAAGATGTTATCGCGGGGATCCACAATGTGGTCCTTCACCGACTGCTTGGTGATGGTCGGGGGCTGGGACACTGCAGCAGGGCAAACAGTGGGCAGTCAGGGCCGCAGGAATGGGCCTGGGTCCCTGGCTTGAAGAATGGCTGAAATTAAGAGCTTTGGGAGCCACAGAGAAAAGCAGGCAAGCAGGGGGTGGACAGTGCCCCACTTCAGAGACCGCGGGAAAGGGATGTGTGTCACAGATTAAGCATTAAGAGTCAGTATAAAAGGTCACAGTATCCCCGTGAGAGACGGAAGGCCAGGCTTCCGATTGACCCACTCTTATGTCCAATGCTTAGTACAATGTCTAGAGCACAGCAGTTCTTGATAAATGTTTGTTGAATGAATAAAAGAGCAAAAAAACAGCTAGATTTTCAGTACTTAAGGGCTGTGATGGTTCTGAGCCCTGCAGGGTCAACAGATGGTCAAACTGTGGTGAGGATGGGGCTGAAAGAGGCCTTAGTCCGCAGAGAATTTCCCAGGGACTTGTCTGCAGGCCAAAGAGTACCGTTCCCTCCTGGCCCTGAGCTGTGCTCCTCCCTGGTGCTCCTGTGCCAGCCACCGGAGGACAGGCAAGCAGTGGCCCTTCTTACCCACCTGCCTTTCCACAGGCTGAGCCTCTTCCCTTCCCATGTGGTAAGAAACCTCACTACATGGCGCTGGTGTCAAGCAGCCCTAGCAGAGGGGTGGAGGGGCCAAGAATACCCCCTGTGCCCTCACCTGGCTTTCTCCTGCCCCTCCTTCCTGCCCTCTGACCTCCCAGAGGCACAAGTGCAGAGAGGCATGCCCCGCCCCCAGACTTACGCTCATTCTGAATGCTGGCTGTTAGTTCCAATGGGTTAGCATTGTGAAGGGAGAAAAGAAGACATCAGTTATTACACATGACCCACTGCCCAAGTGTCCTCACGCCCCAGCATGCAGGGAGGAGGGAGAAACGGGCTAGGGGCGGGCACTCTGCGTGGGTTCTCTCCCACCAGCTGCGGAGTTCAGGGGAAGAGGCAAGCTGGAGCGGGGATGGACCCAGTGAGTGCTTCGTGGAGAAGGCAATGCCTTCCCCAGAGACCAAAACATGCGGTGCAGCAGAAAGACCGGCTTCCGACCAAATGAAGATGTCACCAGGTAAGTCCAAATGTCAAAAGTGGCAACGCTGCTCAAAAGAGGCTGGGCTCTGAAGATGCCACCTGTCACCTTTAGATGCTCTTTGGCCAACAGTGCTGGGGTGAGGCTGAGGTGGCAGGAAGGAGTGGATCAGAGCCTCTGCTGCAGGACAAAGAGCCACAGGCCCAGCAAGTCCATGGGCCTCACTGCTCCCACTGCCCCTCGTTCCCTTTCACACCGCCTGCGTTCCTCGCTGTTTCTAAGCTTTTTACAAAAGGGGCGGGTGGCACACACCTTCTCAGCCTGCACCTGAGATGCCTGGGTACAGCTTTCTATGTTTCTCAAACTTTGACAAGCACATGAATCACCTGAAGGGAGTGGTTAAAATGCAGGTTCTGATTCAGTAGATCCTGCAATTGTGACAGGGAGCCAAGTGATGCGGATGCTGGTGGTCTGTGGACCACGCTTTGAATACAAGGTTTTAGATGAAGTGTGCTTTGTGAGGACAAGGTCTTGGTTGAAATGTGTCTGCAAAAGAGAGAACATCTGTTATATCTGCTATAGCTTTTAAAACTATCCTTTACTTATGATAATAGAAAATAATACAACTTTCTTTTTTTTTTTAATGCTTGTGTGGATGTTAGATCTGGTGCTGGTGTTGTGGGCTGACTTTTTCAGAGTGAGCACTTCCTGGGGGAAGCAGAGGCTGCTGGTGAGCCACGGTGACCTTGACACTTCCTCCTTTTCTTTTTTTAATCCTCACTCAAGGCCATGCTTATTGATTTCAGAGAGACGGAAAAGGTTAGGGAAGAGAGGGATAGAAATAGCAACACAAGAGAGAAACATGAATCGGTTGCCTCTCGTATGTGCCCCAACCAGGGCCAAACCTATGTATGTGCTCTGACCGGGAATCCAACCCATGACCTTCTAGTTTATGGGACGACATTCCAACCAACTAAGCCACACCAGCCAGGGCAACCTTGCAGCTTCCTGACTTGACCAGAGTGAGATGTGGAAGAGGAGATTAGGGACTCAGAAAGGGGGAGGGCAGATTTAAGACACAACCAAGAGCTGCACAAAAGCATCACAGAAAAGAGAAGACGGACCTCAGAGAGGGAGGTAGAGGGTGGCAGGAATGAGTGTCCTACTGGACATGCTGTCAGTACGTGAAAGTCTTTAGAGAGTAAGACCCATGAAAAGGTTCGAAATAATTCTTTTGCCCCTGGTTTTTCATCTCAAAACACAGGTGATGTCTCCTGTTCCTGACACACAGTTGAAGGCTCTGGCCTCGTCCCGAACAGGAAGGCCAACAAAGGCTCTGCTTTGCCCACGTGGGCCTCAAACCTCTCTTTTACTGAATCAAATGCTGGTTCAATGGAAATATCCCTAGATGTTGTCCAGGGAATCTCGAATCCAGGGAAGGGAAGTCACTTGGTTAAGATCGCACTGGAATGAGAACCAGCTCTTGGGCTGCCTGGTCCAGAGCTCTTTTTATAAACCCATCCTTGGCCAGGTGGGGCCTTGGCGCTCTGTTCTCCTTGACAGTCTGGACAAAGGAAGTAAGAGGAGAGACCTCGAGGGGGTAGAGATTCTCAGGGCAGTTGGGGCCCCACACTGAAATCAGGCCAGGACTCTTGAGAATCTAACTGCCTAAAGAGGTATTGACATCTGCAACCACCATTGTGCTACCAAGGACTTCATTACAGGGACACAGTCCACCCAGAAGACAAGCTGCCACAGGGAGAAGACAACAGGGACTGTCTGCCTAGGGTCAAGGGTGACTTAGTCTTGTGGCCGCCCTCGTTCTCCATCCTGTGTCACACCACCTGCCCTTCTCTCCGGTGGAACTGCTGGATGATGAATGTAGAGCGGAGAATAAATTTGTTCTTTTGGCTGCCAAGAGGGAGGAAAACCTTCCAACAGGCTCTGCAGGGGGTGAGGCAGATGCTGCCTGGAACTCACGCACCTCTTTCCTTTCCCCAACTCTGGTATGTGTGACCTCTGGCACTCATCACTCGGACGATGAAGTGCGTGCGTGTGTGTGTTATTGAGGCCATCCTGCAGCACCATTTGGGATGGTAGTGAGGAGGAAGTGTTTCTCCCACACCATGGCCCTGCTCTGTGGGTTCCTAGGAGAAAAATGCTGAGTCCCTTGCTGTGGGGAGGGAGACAGAGGGGCAAGCTGCCAGCAGACTCACTTTTTGGCAAACCTCTTTGGTTGATGAGGTGACTCTTTACATTCTTCAAAGGTCACATTGTTCTCCTTGAGGCTGGTGAGGGGGAGGTGGGTGCGTGTGACTCTGCTGGCAAACCAGTGGGGACTGGAGGCTGGGCACTTCAATGAAGGATTGTGTAGCAGCCCAGGGCTCTGTTCCTGGAAGCCTGCTGCACCCCAGATCCCCACAACAGTGCCTTATCCTCCAGGCATAGATAATGCCCCCAAAGGAGCCCCTGGCATGAGCCCCCAGGCACCCCCCTAACACACAGGTAAAGTTAAGAGCGCCCAATCTTACGTTGTCCCCATGTCTTGGCTATTGGGGATAATGCCTCAAGGAAGAGGGGGTGCAGCTATCTCCAGCCTTTCGCCACAACTTGGATGGACCTTGAGGGCATTATGCTAAGTGAACTAAGTCAGGCAGAGAAAGACTAATTCTGAATGTTCTCACTTACATGTGGAATCTTAAAAAGTCAAACTCAAGGAACAGAATAGAATGGTGGTTGCCAAGGGCTGGAAGGTGAGGGATACTGGTCAGAAGGTACAAACTCCCAGCTATTGGAGATATGAGTTCTGGGGATCTAACTTACAGCATGGCAACTACAGTACAGGTATACCTCGGAGACACTGTGGATTCGGTTCCAGACCACCACAAAAGAGCCAACACTGCAATAAGGTGAGTCACATAAATTTTTTTGTTTCCCAGTGCATATAAAAATTATGTTTATACTATATTATGGTCTATTAAGTGTGCAGTAGCATTATGTCTAAAAACAATATATATGTCTTAATTAAAAAAATACCATATTGCTAAAAAAATGCAAACCATCACCTGAGCCTTCAAGGGTCTTGCCTTAATGTTCACAACTGCTGACTGATCAAGGTGATGGTTACTGAAGGTTGAGTGATTGTGGCAATTTCTTAAAATAAGACAACAAAAACATTTGCCACATTGATGGCTCCTTCTTTTCATAAACAATTTCTCTGTAGCATGTGATGTTATTTGATGGCATTTTACCCACAGTGGAACTTCTTTCAAAATTGGAGTCAGTCCTGTCAAGCCCTGTTGCTGCTTAATCAACTAAGTTTATGTCATATTCTGAATCCTTTGTTATTTCAACAGTCTTCACAGCATCTTCACCAGAAGTAGATTCCATCTCAAAATATCACTTTCTTTGCTCATCCATAAGAAGTAACTCCTCGTTGACTAAAGTTTTATCATGAGATTGCAGCAGTTCAGTAACATCTTCAGATTCCACTTCTATTCTAGTTCTTTGCTATTTCCGCTACATTTGTAGTTACTTCCTCCACTGAAGTCTTATAAGAGGGTTGGAATCAACTTCTTTCAAACTCCTGTTAATGTTGATATTTTGATCTGTTCCTTCAAATCATGAATGTTCTTAATGATTCCTAGAATGGTGACTCCTTTATAGAGGTTTGCAATTTATTCTGCCCAGATCCACCAGAGACTCACTATCTATGGGAGCAATAGCCTTACAAAATATATTTCTTAAATAATAAGGCCTGAAGTTAAAAATTACTCCTTGATCCATGGACTTCAGAATGGATGTTGTGTTAGCAGGCATGAAAACAACATTAATTTCATTGTACATCTCCATCAGAGCTCTTGGATAACTAGGTACATAGACAATGAGCAGTAATATTTTGAAAGGAATCTTTTTTTCCTGAGAAGTAGGGCTCAAAGGTGGGCTTAAAATAATTAGTAAACCATGAAATAAAGAGACGTGTTGTCATCCAGTCTTTTTTGTTCCATTTACAGAGCACAGGAGTAGATTTAGCATAATTCTTAATGACCTTAGGATTTTGGGGATGATAAATGAGCACTGGCTTCAACTTAAAGTCACCTGCTGCATTAGCCCCTAACAAGCGAGTCAGCCTGTCCTTTGAAGCCCTGAAGCCAGGTATTGACTTCTCTACTCTAGCTGTGAAACTCTCAGATGTCATCGTCTTCCAATAGAAGGCTGTTTTGTCTACATTGAAAACCTGTTGTTTACTGTAGCTGCCTTCTTAGCTAGATCTTCTGGGTAACTTGCTACTTGCTGCAGCAGCTTCTATTGTACATCAGCACATGCTGCTTCACATTGCACTTTTATGTAATGAAGAAAAGGTCTTTCCTTAAATGCCATGATGCAATCTCTGCTAGCTTCAAATGTTTCTTCTACAGCTTCCTGACCTCTCTCAGACTTCATAGAACTGAAGAGAGTTAGGGCCTTTTTCTGGATTAGGCTCTGGCTTAAAGGAATGTTGTGACTGGTTGGTTCTTCTATCCAGACCATGAAAACTTTCTCCATATCAGCAATAAGGCTGTTTTGCTTTTGTATCATATGTGTACTCACTGGAGTAACACTTTTAATTTCCTTCAAGAACTTTCCTTTTCATTCACAACTTGGCTAACTGGCATAAAAGGTCAGGAGGTTGCAGAAGAAATGATGTGCCTTCCTCACTGAGCTTAATCACTTCTAGCTTTTGATTTAAAGTGAGAGACGTGAGGTTCTTCCTTTCACTTGACCACTTTGAGGCCATTGTGAAGTTATTAATTGGCCTAATTTCAAGACTGTTGTGTTTCAGGGAATCAGTGGAGCAGTCAAAATACATGCAGCATTTATCTTAAGTTTGCTGTCTTACAAGGGCATGGTTTGTGGTGCTCCAAGATGATTTCAATAGTAACATCAAAGGTCACTGATCACAGATCACCATAACAAATACAACAAAATGAAAAAGTTTGAAACATTGCAAGAATTACCAAAATGAGACTCACAGACCTGAAGTGAGCAAATGCTGTTGGAAAAATGGTGCCAACAGACTCATTCAAGGCACCTTTGTCACAAACCTTCTCTTTGTAAAAAACCGCAGTGTCTGTGAAGCACAATCAAGCGAAGTACAATAAAATGAGATATGCCTGTACTGTAGTATATACTTGAAAGCTGCTAAGAGAGTACACCTTATAAGTTATTACCACACATACAAAAAGGTAATCATGTGAGGGGGCGGGTGTGTTAACTAAACCTACTGCGGTAGTCATTCCGTAATATGTACGTGTGGCAAATCATCAAGTTGTACTTCTTAAACTTACATATATTATATGTCCATAAGATCTCAGTAAAGCTGGGGGTGGGAAGGAATGCCTAATCTTTCCCTAGCCCCTCCACTGGGTCTGAGTCAAGGTGAGAAGGAAGGACGGACTCAGGTACCCTAGGAAACAGGAGGGAGAAACCAGGCTGGAGAGGACCTCTCCCCAGGGCAACCGGAGGGCTTGCCTTTCCCTCATCTTGCGGTCAGCTTTTGCAGACTCATTCTGGAGAAGCTTCCATTGCCACGTGCCTTCAGTAACCAGGGAGGTGCATGAGGCAGCGCGAGTTTCATGAGACAACCTGCAGCACCAGACTGTGTGTCCCAGATGGACTCACCTCCTCAGACAGAGAGGCACTGTGCTCACATGCCGGCCCTGCCACTTGGGAAACAGCTTTATTTCTCTACACCTCAGACTTCTAACCTGTCAGCTAAGGACCACAGATGCTTCGTGGATTAGCTGTGAGCACTGCAGGAAGTGATGCCTGTGAAGCACTTGGCTCTCTGCTGGGCACACGCAGCTCAGACCCTGGGGAGTTCTAAGAACTAAAAGGAGGCAGGTTTACCAGAGGTCAGTGTGGGACATGCTGAGTGCCAAACTGCGGGTCATCAAGGGATACGGCTTCTTCTTGCGACTCCATCGCCCATCTGCTGTGTGACCCTGACCGAGCAAGGGCCTGCATTTCCGTGAACGAGCACAGGAAGGGCGGGCGGACGCTCCAGGCCCTCTCCCCTGGGGAGGCGGTGGTGGGAAGGTCAGGGCACTGGCTGCTCTTGCTCCACAAGTGGTACTTGAAGAGACTGACTGCTCAGTCCCCTGCCTGTGGCTCTGGTAGAACTCTAGAGATCCAGAGTCTTAGCATAGGTGTCAAAGCCATCTGTTCAGAAGTTCACCTTGCCAGAACTCCTCACCTACTAGCCCTGGGGATCCAAGTGGCAGGCGAGTGAGTGAGGAGAAGTGGCGGAAGAGAAATGAGCCTTCGCCACTTCCTTGATAACCCAGGTTCCTCTGCACCCTCTCCTCTCCAGGGGGATGGAGGGCCTTATCATTAGATTGTCTGCCTGGGACTGTTAATGAGCAATTCTCCTTGAGCCAGCAGTACAGATGGTCTCCATGGTACAGCTCCTCTCCCAACAACCTTGTCACCCATCCTGAGTGTCTGTGTGTGCACACACTCACACACTCAGGCTATCGGGAGGGCAGCAGGGGCCTTGTCCATCTTGCTTCTGGGCCTACCCACAGTTGCTCCTGGCCATCACCCATCCAGAAGTGCCCACTTCTCTGGGGCAGCTATTATGGGTGAAGTGGGATTGCAGGGGGCAGAGACACCTGCAGCTCTTCTCTGAGCTCTGTTAACTCTACTCCCCAGGGTCTAGCTTTGGAGAGCTCAGCTCAGACTTCTTGGAGGCTGTGTTGCTCTCTTACCCCTCCCCAGATATCTATCACCTGGAGAGAGCCTAAGTCAATGTTGGCATCATATGGGTTCCATCTATTCCTAAAATCAGGGGAGAGGGAACAGAGATGGTGTGCCCACATCTTAGTACTGGGATGCAAGACATCCTGATAGGAGTGTCAGTATTGTGACAAAGGTGGAGCACATCGAAATGCAGGGCCAAGGCGCGTGGCTGCCAATCAATGAATATACCCACAGATGTAGCTGGTGAGATTCTGTTAGAGCAGCATTGTAAGCCCCTTACTTTATGATTCTTATGGCCAAATAATGGGAAACAGAATAACATGGATTTTACTTTCCAGCTTCACTGTGGAAAGGTTAAAAATAGCAGGAATCAGTGCCTGGTTCTCCAATGGTGGCATTATAACAGGGCTCTATTTTAATGTCTCACACAGCCAGTCTTTTGCAAAATAATCCCCTTCCCAACCCTCTCCCAGCCATCCATCCTTCTGATCAGTCCAGCCAAAAAGATCTCATGGATCTAGATCAGGAATGAGAAAGGCAAATAAGAACCATTCACTCACTTGGTCCCTAAAAACTCTGCTTTGATGGGCAAGTCAAGACCACAGAGAACACTCGGGCTTCCAAACTCAGCACCTCCAGTCCTGATCAGCAGGCTCCAGGCAGCCCAAGTCCCTCAGCCACAGTGGTGAGAGACCTTGCTGCAGACTCACGCCTCACATTCCAAAGCACAAGCCTTACGCTTCCATTTTTGGGGACCCCAGCTCTGCATCCAGAATACACTGTTTCTCTTCCTAAAACATCCTTCAAAAGTTGGTCTTAACTTCCCTTTGCCCTCCAACTCCTCTGCCCCAAATCAAGAGAATAAAAGAAGGAGCAGAACTCACGATCCATAGGAATCTCGATGGCCCTGCCAAGGCCGAGGAAGCAGAGGAGGAAGGCTGTGTGGACCCAGGGTGGTGGCTGCGGCCTGGCCATCCTCAGCACTGGACCCCGCTCCCTGTTCCCCGGCCCTCGGGGTCTTGCTGCCTCCAGCTGCTCTAACTCAGCCTTCGGACAGAGCTCAGCTGTGGAAAGAAATATGACAAGTGAGTTATTTCTTAAACTCATGGTTTGTTCTAGCAATCCTACAGGGCTGAAAGGATGCAAACCTCCCCCTGGTCACCGACCAATGTTCTAAAACAGGGTTTCCTACCCTTGCACTATGGACATTTGGGACCCAACAATTCTGTGTGTGGGGAACACTCTTGGGTGTTGTAGGATGTGTAGCAGCATCCTGGCCTCTACCCACTAGACGCCACCAGAGCCCACTTCTGCCACCAATGAAAAAACATCTCTAGATATTGTCAGCTGTCCCCTGGAGCACAAAACCACCTTGAGTTGAAAACCATTGTTCTAGAAGGAAAGGCAACTCTGGGTAAACAAACCCTGGCCCACAGGCCCAGCACCAGGAAGATGCCACACACATGGCCAGTATAAACCCACCAATCTCACAAATCCTCTGAACCATACATGCTGTGTGGATCTGCATTTGAGTGTGTTTGGGGCAGGGCCGCCGAACTAAGATCACACCACCGTCCTTCGATCTAGAGAGGGGGCAGGGTGAAGGTGGCAGCAGTGGGGATCAGGGTCAGATAGATGAAACTTGGCTGCCTAAAGGATTTTTTATAAATGAATAATTTTTGCAGAGGTTTGTGCAGCTAATGTATGTTGTGTCCCTTTAGAGTTCACGGCAGTGCTGAAATGATGGCCCAGGAGAAGGGGATTCGAGGGGGTTGGTAGAAAGAGCAACATTATGAGAGCTCAACCTTTACATCCTCAAACACAAGAAATCATTCCAGAGCCTACAGAGGCAAGGGCTAAAACTGGCAGTCCTGGAGTGGGTCCTTAAGAAACAAAGCGTTTCCCTTCCCCTTGAGACACTAGATCAAGAATGGCCTACAGCTGACGCTCAAACAAGAGCTTTAAGATTGCTGAGCTTCTAAAACATGAGTCTGAAAAACTGGTCCAGCTTGTTGTTCTACCGTGGGGTCAAGTCAAACAGGACAACAGCAGAAGGTTTCCCCAGAACTCTTCCAGCTTTCCTGAACTAATAGTCACCTGTCAAAATGGATACATGGCTTTACTTCTGTTTCCTGTGGCAACAGCTTGAAGCCCGCTCTCCTCTGTACGCCCACCATCTCCCACCTGTCCTGATGGAGGGTCTAGAATGAGGAGCAGGGCTCCAGGGCTTCTCCTGGGAGACAAGGTCATGCTTCTGGAGACCTGGACACTGAGGCAGCGCCCTGTGCCGGGGTGTGGGGCAAGCTGGAGGATTCTGACTCAGATTTCAGCCATCTTTCCTGGAAGCTGGGCCCAGCACCAGCCTCCAACCTCAGGATATTTCTGGACTCCATCCCCTCCCTCCCTTCCCACTGCTCCCACCTTGGTTTTGGTCACCATCGTTTTATGCCAGTTACTGCAGGGAGACCTGAGTGGTCTCCCTGCTTCTACTTTTATCCCTCTGACTCATTCTCTATCCATAACTAGAGTGGTTACTTCTAAAGTTCAAATATAAATACTATGCCACTTCCCTATAGTCAAACTCACTAGCTCACTACTGCCCGTAAGTTAAGCGAAAGTCCTTGACATGGCTCAGGAGCCCTGAATGACACAGCCCCTCTGTAATATCACTCTCATCACCCCCATCCCTGTGTTCTGTGTTCAGAAATATGAGGCTTCTACCAGGTCTTTTCATGCACCACGCTCTGTAATGCTGATGGACATCTACACAGATTAATATCTGTCTAGAACACTCTTTGAATCTGCCTTCTCTCATTAGGATTTGCCAAGTATGTCTCCTGTGCCCCTTGTCTATAGCTCTGAACACCACTTATGTCCCCCTATTACAGCCCTTGTCACTTCGTATTCATTCCAAAAGCCACCCTGTATCCCCTATAAAAAGACTCTATAAGGGGAGGTGCTTTGTCTTTGAGCCTTGTCTTGGTCATTCCTAGACTCTAACATAGTGCCTAAAACATAGCAGGTCCTCAAAAATATGTGATAGATGGATGAAGATGGACAAATGACTGATGGAATAAACTACTTAGATCATGTATTCTTTAAAAACCTCATATTCCCCCAGAAAACCACCAGGGGGTACAGGAGAGCACAGGATTTGACCTGAGCAGCATATTGTGAAGGGAGAAATCAGAGGAGGAAAAGCGGCTCTCCTGACACAGGGATTGCACTCTGTGGGGGCGGGGTGGGGGACCCTCTAGCTAAAGGCATCCCAGGAGGTCTTTGGTTCTTCCTCATTACTCTCTAAGGTGGTCCTTACACTGTTTCAGGAAGTCTGCTGCCTCCTCTCCTTGACTCCCATACCTCTGAAGCCCCAACTCAGGTTACCCTGCTGAACCTTAGGGCTGAGAGAAGCCGCCCTGGTGGAAGAGTGTGTACCAGGGGGCAGAGCACCAGGGTGGATGGCTCCGGTCTTGGCTGCACTACATTCTTTTAAAGAGCTGCCAAGAAGACTGACTTCCAGACAAGATGGAGGTGTAGGTAGATACACTTTACCTCCTCACACAACCAAAAGAAGGACAACAAACTTAAAAACAAAAAATAACCAGAACTGCCAGAAAATTGAACTGTATGGAAGTCCAACAACCAAGGAGTAAAAGAAGAATCATTAATCCAGACTGGTATGAGGGGCGGAAATGGGCAGCTGGGGTGGAGAGGACGTGCAGCAAGGCAGTGGCTGGCAGTCTGGGCGGTCCCACATTTGCGTTAGGATAAAATGGGAGGAATAGCTGGGGAGCGAGACAGACCACACAATCCAGGGTTCCAGTGCAGGAAAAGAAAGCCTCAAAATCTTTGGCTGTAAACACCTGTGGGGAATGAGGCAGCAGGAGAAACTCCCTACCTCACAGGAGAGTCCGTTGGAGAGACCCACAGGTCCTAGAACATACACAAACCCATCCACTGGGAACCAGCACTAGAAGGGCCCAATTTACTTGTGGGTAGCGGGGGAAGTGACTGAGAGCCAGCCAAGAACTGAGCAACTGGCATTGTTCCCTCAAGTGACCTAGGTTGCCCTGCCCTGGGGAATACCTAAGGCTCCGCCCCTTCCAACATAACAGGCATCCTGAGACAAAGAAATGTGGCCCAAATGAAAGAACAGATCAAAGCTCCAAAAGTAGATATAAGTGTGAGAAGAAGATAGCCAACCTATCAGATGCACAGTTCAAAACACTGGTAATCAGAATGTTCACCGAATTGGTTGAGTATGGTTGCAAAATGGAGGAAAAAGTGAAGGTTATGCAAAGTGAAATAAAGAAAGATATACTGGTAACCAACAGTAAAGGGAAGGAAACTGGAACTCAAATCAATGATTGGGAGCAGAAGGAAGAGATAAACATTCAACAAGAACAGAATGAAGAAACAAGAATTCAAAAAAATGAAGACAGCTTAGGAACCTCTGGGACAACTTTAAACGTTCCAACATCCAAATCCTAGGGGTACCAGAAGGAGAAGAAGGAGAGTAAGAAATTGAAAACTTATTTGAAAAAATAATGAAAGAGAACTTCCCCAATCTGGCCAAGGAAATAGACTACCAGGAGATCCAGGAAGCTCAGAGAATCCCAAAGAAGTTGGACCAAGGAAGCACACACCAAGGCACATCATAATTCCATTATCCAAGATTAAAGATAAGAAGAGAATCTTCAAAGCAGCAAGAGAAAAGGAGACAGCTCCCTACTAAGGGGTTGCAGTAAGACTATCCGCTAATTTCTTAGAAGAAACCTTGCAGGCAAGAAGTGACTGGAAAGAAGTATTCAAAGTCATGAAAGGCAAGGACCTACACCCAAGATTACTCTATCCAGCAAAGCTATCATTTGGAATGGAAGGGCAGATGAAGTGTTTCCCAGACAAGGTAAAGTTAAAAGAGTTCATCATCACAAAGCCCTTATATGAAATGTTAAAGGGGCTTATGTAAGAAAAAGGTCAAAAACCATGAACAGTAAAATGACAACAAACACAACTATCAACAACTGACCATAAAAAAAAACAAAACCAAAACCAAAAACTAAGCAAACAACTAGAACAGGAACAGAATCACAGAAATGCAGATCAGGATAGGGGAGAATGGGGGAAAAGGTACAGGGAATAAGAAGCATTAATAGTAAGTACATAATATTTTATGACAGAGGGAGGTTAAGAATAGTATAGGAAATGGAGAAGCCAAAAAACTTATATGTATGACCCAGGGACATGAACTAAGAGTGGGGAATGCCGGTGGGGGGTGGGGGTGGTGCAGGGTGGAGGGGAATAAAGGAAGGAAAAAAATGGGACAACTGTAATAGTATAATCAATAAAATATGTGTGTGTGTGTGTATACATGTACATATAAAAATATATATATACATATATATATATGTATATATGAGCTGCCAAGCAGTAGGAATGATGGGAAAGAGAAGGATACTTTATTCTGGGAATCTTGGTGAGAAAAAGAAGCCAAAAGTTATTCATTAACTATAAACACATTGGTAGGGAAAATATCCCAATTATTCAGGGTGCTGTTAACTCACATTTTAAAAACACAGTAAAAAAGGAACATAGAGATAATCACACTTAGCTGTTTGACAATTCTCCCTGGAACCCTTTTTTCTACATGCCCTGACCAGGGATCGAACCCACAACCTTTTTGGTTTACGGGATGACACTCCAACCAACTAAGCCACTTGGCCAGGGCCCCAATAAAATCTTGAAAGTGAAGAGAATTTAAGAATTATTTAGCTTCATGTTTTTCATACGAGGAAACAAGAGCCCAAAAAGGGAAAGTGATTTGCTCCTGGTTACACAGCTGCTTAGTGGAAAAGCCAGGAAAAGAACCCAGTCCCCTGACTTCCAGTCCAGGCTTTCCCCACCTCACTTCCCTATCTCTCGATATGCAGGAAAGTTCCTGAGTAAAGTTACTATTTAAAAAAGAAATGTATTTTGGGGGAGTTGCTAAAAAATTAATTACCATATGACCCTGTATATCTACTCCTAGGCATATGCCCCAAAGAATTAAAAACAGGCTCTCAAA